GAAGGGGGAAAATAAGAACCAAGAGAGATTATGTAAAGGTAAAAATTTCCAATGATGAATGTCATTATATTGTATACCTAAAATGTACCAATAAAATAATATTTAAAAAAAGAATAAAAAATGCCAAAAAACAAAGTGCCCATCTCCTGCCCCAGCACCCCTCCCATTCCCCACACTCAGGCCTTTGTCACTTCAAAGGCCCTCCCAGGTGTCAGGGAGAAGGGCTGCTCCTGCCCACCGCAGAGCCCCAGGAAAGCTACTTACTCCATCCGTCTGAGCAGTGGGAGCCCCTTGCAGAAACGTGGGACCCAGTTGGCCAGCTTATTCTCTGCCAAGCTGCAAGGCAGGGGAGATATCTCTGAGATGAGCCCCCAGACCTTCTCTGTCCTGTCCCTCTGTCCAGGGCAGGCAACTGCTACTCACCTGATATCTTCCACATGTGGGCATCCATCTAGGGCCCGGCCCAGGCTCAGTGCCCCCTCTGGGCCCAGACGGCTAGACTGCAGGCTGGGGAGAGGGGAAGGGCTGAGAGAAGCCTGGAAACCAGCTGTACGCCAGCCTTGTCTCTGGCTGCAGTAGCAGCCTTAGCTGGTCGCTAGGTAACTGCCATTCAGAGTGCTGGTTTTGGGTCTGAGCTCCCAAGTTCAAGGATGGCTTCTTAGTGTATTAGGAAGATTTGCTCCCCACACCTCTCTGGGCATTCACTCCCTTATTGGCAAATGGAGCACATAAAACCCCAGCCTCATGGGGTTGCATGAGGCTCAGATGAGGCCGTGAACTTGAATTGGAAAGTGCTGAGGCCATGCTACTTAGTGCTTTGCTTCCACACAGCCCTTTCTTTGCTTATTCACCCTCAGACTGACTCTCAGGGCAAGCTGAGCTGGGATTGTTGTCTTTCTTTGCACAGGAGGAAACTGAGGTTCAAAAGGGGCAGGGGGCTTAGTCAAAGGCTCACAGGTAGCCAGTGGCAGGGCCAGGATAGGCTGGGTGTCCTGATTTCCCTGTCAGGACATCTGACATCGTAGGGGAGTAGCAGGCAGGAAAGGGCCCTTCCCACACTTTGCATGCACCTTGGGCAAGGGGACACTCACTGTAGGACCCTTAGGTGCTGGGGCAGCCCCTGAGCCAGTGTCAGGGCTGTGGGATCCCCCAAGGCGTTGCAGCCAAGCCTGAAGAAGGAGGAGAGGATGGGAGGGGAATGTGGAGCACATACCACCTGCTCTGGGTCCCTGCCCTGCCCCTGAGGGAGAGGAGGGCCAGGGGGCTGTGGGGACCCCCACCTGGGCAGACACTCACCTAACCTCCTCCAGGTGTCTGCAAAGAGTGAGGGACTTCGCCAGCTGCAGTCCTCCAGCCAGGCTGATGCCATTTGCTGAGAGGCTGTGGGAGAGGCGGTCATCAGATCCTCTGACATTCTGCACAGCCTCCTCATCCACAGGGGCCCAAGGGGCAAGCCCCCTCCTCACCCACCTTCCCAGTGTGGTGGGACAGAAGGACCCAGGAACAAGGGCCAGGTGGGTTAAGGTCCCACAACCAGAGCCAGGAGGTCACCAGCCCCTCTGTCTGGGCATGAAGGCTGGGGGAGGGAGGCTTGCCAGTGTGGGCCTGAACCAGAGCTGGTGTCTCCCTGGAGCACAGTGTGGCCACTGTGGGTCCCTCTCAGCAACCTGACCACTCACTCTATCTTCCTGAGCCCAGGCAGCCCCAGCAGGATAGCAGCTAGGTTCTGGGCACCGGTGTCTCCAATTTGGTCGTGACTCAGGCTTAAGGAGAGAAGAGCAAAAGAACCAGAATCATCAGCCTGCTGCTCTCTACCCTTGTCTTACCTAGTCCTGGAACACAGGAGGAGCCTGATGGCCAGAGAAAGAGCCCAGTCAGAGAAGGAGGGAGGGAGGGAGGGAGGCAGAGAGCGCCGCAGCACCCTGTGTTGGGTGAAGACTCCCAACTTTTGACTTCTGTTAGGATGCTCTTCTTGCTGTCTGATCTAAATCCCTCTTGCTGCAATGGACTCTCTTAAACACTATCTTTGAGTCTCAGAGGATTTCAGCCTGGGCTTGGTTATGCAGTGTGGAAGTGAGTGAAAGGGATGAGATAAAAAGCAAAGAGCCTACTCGAGTGACCCCTTACTTTCATCATCTTTCTTGCCAAAGTCATCATGGGGCTGAGGGAAGGACACTGGTCTCACTCCAGTCCCATCAAGCTGGTGGCAGCTCTGAAAGCCTCAGGAAGTTGACAGCAACTAATGTTACCAATGTTGTTCTTGTTCGGTCTGCAGAAGGCCTTAGTTAAGAGCTTAAAGTACCTCTGTAGGTACTATGCTCAAAATTCTACAGTTTGCAAAACCTGTATACTCATATACTGCTCACATGACTTCCAGGGGCAGTGAGCAGAGTGGGGATGACTGTCTCCACTATCCAGGTAAAAATTAATGTGGCTCAGAAATGATTGGTGATTGGCTGATGACTCACAGTGACTTGCAGGTAAGGTGGGCATGGATCCCAGAGCCCCTGGCCAGGGAACATACTCTACATTTTTCAGCATTGCCAGGTTTTTCTGTGGCCTCTGAGGCTGGGGCTGGGTGGGTGGGTAGGATTTGAATGCTAATTCTATGTGGGTTCCACACTGAGGCCAGGCAGCTCTCCAGGGCTTAGGAGCTTCCATCTCTGCAGTAGGAAGCTTCTGCTTGACCTGGATGAGTGGTTCTTGGGCACCCCGACCTTCCCCTGCCCCCATGAGTGGGCAGACAGAACCCAAGCAAAATGACCAGGCCACTGGCTCAGCCTTTTGCTAAGGATTTGTCTGAGGGTTGTTTGTTTTCTTTTCTTTTGCAAATTAAATGCTGGTGAACTGTCTTCCGGTGACTTTTTGGTGACATGACTGGTCCTATATGCCACATCCTCTGAAACTCTAACCTCAATGTCCCACTCTCCTAAGCTTCCGGAGTCTGCGTGGGCACTCAGATAAAATCAGAGCAAAGCTTTATGTCATTGCTTGGATTTTAGCTATGGTATTTCATAGTAAAAAAAAAAATCATCAGGGATTTAGCTCAGTGGTTCTGCCGCCTGCCTTGCAAGCGCAAGGTTCCAAGTTTTTTTTTTGTTTTTTTGGGGGAAAAGTTGTGTAGGTATTGGGGGTTTTTTTGTTTTGTTTTGTTTTTGTACTGGGGATTGAACTCAGGGCCTTGTGCTTGCGAGGCAGGTGGTGAAACCACTGAGCTAAATCCCCGGTCCAAGGTCCCAAGTTTGATCCCCCACTACCAAAAAAAAAAAAATCAAGCCATGTGTAGTGGTACAGTTTTGTAATTCCAGCTTCTTGGGAGTCTGAGGTAAGAGGATTGCAAGTTTGAGGCTAGCCTGGGCAATTTAATGACATTTTGTCTCAAAATAAAATTTGAGCTGGGCATGATGGTGCATGCCTGTAACCCCAGCACTCAGGAGTCTGAGGCAGGAGGATCGCTGCAAGTTAGAGGCCAGCCTGGGCTACAAGTGAATTCAAGGCCAGCCTGAACTACATAGTGAGGCCCTGTCAAAAAAAAAAAAAAATTAAAATGGATGTAGCTCAGTGATCCCTGGGTTCAGTCCCTTGTATTGCAAAAATGAAAAGCAAATCCACATCTACAAAGAATGTGCTATTTGTTTATCAAAGTGGGCAGGAAATGAAAACCACTGGGGAGGAGGTCTGTGGATTACAAATTCTCATTTTTAACAAGAACCTAAGGAGAACAGTGTGGACGCAAAGGGCTGTTTTGGAACTTGGGCATAATCCCTTCTGGTCACTTTGTGACAGGATGGAATTGGTGGCACTAGAAGGCCAGAGCAGTGGGCACCACCCCTGGAATTTCCCTGGGAAGGAGAGAGGGTCAAGGAGGTGTCCCAGTGCTTCCCAGGACAGTGTCTCAACAAAGGTGGGCAGTGTGTCCTCCCACTTATTCCCGTGGGGTCACTTGGTCACTCACCAGAGGTGCTGCAGGAGGCTCATGTGGCTTAGTTCTCGAGTAAGCGTGGCCAGTGTGGGGCCGCCCAGAGGAAGGTGACTGAGGCTGGAGGAGAGGGGGCAGATGACCATGGCATTGCTGTATGTGTGTGGGGTCTCCCGGGTGCAAAGCATTTGAGGCTTCTGTGCCTAGCATGCCCAGGGAACTCAAAGACAGCTCCTTACATCCACACCATGCAAACTGTGCAAAACACACCGCATTGGGAAACACGTGCTGCTTCTCTGCATGGCTCATGGGGGGTCATCCAAGCACAAGTTCTGTTTTTGTTGGGTTTTTTTTCGGTACCGGGGATCGAACTCAGGTCCTTATGGTTGTGAAGCAGGTGGTGAAACCACTGAGCTAAATCCCCAGCCCTAGAGGTTCTGTTTTTGAGCCCTGTGACACTCACACTAATCATGGGTAACACTGGCTATCCCATATCAAGCATATAGTAGGGCTGAGACACTGGAGTTGGGACATCTTGAAAGGTGGCTGTCACTATCACGTCCATGGTACAGATGTGGAGCACTGAGACTCAGAGTGGGATGACAAGCTCACTGTCATCAAGGAGAGAACCCAGGACTGTAGGATTCCCAGCCTCGTGCTACCCATGGGCTCATAATCCATAAGGCCCCCAGTCTGCGCAGGAGAGGGAGACAGAAATGCAGGGTCTGCTTGAGCACTTACAGCATACTATCTCACTTCATCCTTACAACGTCCCCAGGAAAACAGGACTGCTATTATCCCCAAAGTGAAGAAAGGAGTCTAATGCACAGAGAGGCTTAGGAACTTAAACCATCTCACATGGTAAGGGGTGGAAACAAGGTGACCCACTCTCCAGGTTTGCCTAGAGATAGGAGTTTTCCAGGACATGCAACCCTCTCCTCCCCAAAGACAAGCACAGAGGGACAGAATGGGAGAATTTCACTGCTATGGGGGAAAAGTCAAAAGGCTATTTGGAAACTACTTTCAAAACACACGTAGAGAAAAACTCACAAATGGGTTCCCAAAAGTTTTCTTGAGGAATGTCATCTTTTGAGGATCTCATGGTCTTTGCTATACATTTCTTTTTTTTTTAACACATTTCTATGACAGAACTTGGTATATCTTTGGTCATCAGAAAAACAGACATTAAAAGCAGAAAATGCTGTTAAATTTTGGGGGGTCTAGATATCATCTAAACAGGAATCTGTGGAATAGGGCTTGTCTTTTTAGATTGAGGCTGTTTGTGGCATGTCTAAGAATTTGGTAACTCCAAATTATAGGGGAGAAAAAGTTACTGGTTACTAAGGAAACAACTATAGACGAAAGGCAGTGGATATCTGTTGGATTTTCTGCCAGAATTTGTTTCCCCCTCTTCTGTTAATATCACCCTGAAATATCACTCTCTTAGTCCAGGTAATAGGTCGGCCATGTGACCCATATCTGGCCAATGAGAATATTCTGTGCTCAGAGCCACAATGATTGGGTTATGGGTGAACATGTGACCCAAGCTAGTCCAATGGGACTCAATCTGTTGTAACTACAGGGAGGCAGGTGCTCTCCTTCCACTAAACCTGTGACTATGGGACAACCTCCAACTGATCGTGTTTTTCCATGACATAAGCCGATAAACTCTTGGCTTGGGTTGATTTCAATTGGGTATTCTGTTTTTTGTCACCAAGCATCCTGATGACCCTCAGAGCCAGGTGAGGAAGTAAAAGGTCTGGGGGGGCATTCAGTTCACCTAGGTTCATCCAGGTACTTGACAGTTTGTGTTCAAGACATGCAAAGCTCCTGGGCATACGTTTCATGCCCCTCCCCATTAACCACCACCACCACTTTATCTCTTAACACCCCCCCCCCATTACCCCATAGCCACCACTTACTGGAGTGTCTTCAGCCTATACTTCCCCTCAAGGGCCCCCATCAGTATCTCTTCGGCCTGCTCACCAAATTGATTGTTGGAGAAGCTGGAGGGGACAAAGCAGAGGAGAGGGTTAGACCAGCCTGCCCAACCCCTCAAGTGCAGCTGGGAGGGTGACTCTGGGTCTGCAGATCCTAGATCACCAGACTCACTGTCCAAGCTGGCTGGGGGCATCATTGGACCCAAGGGTCAAGCTCTGGGGTCTCTGTGGGAGGGGTACATGGCAGTGACAGTTGGCCTGGTTGAGAAAAGGTGCCCTGAGTGAACTGAAGGCTGCAAAGAAGCAGGTGGGAGAAAAGAGACATGCATGCATGCACTCATGCATGCAGTAATCCTTCCATCCCTCAATCCTCTCCATTCCCTGACACCACAGTCAGCAAAGGGAGAGCCAGGATTAGGAACCCCCTTCTAACAGATGCAGCAAATAGCCCAGAGTAGAAGTGATCTGGCTGGAGACACTCAGGGTCAGAAGTAATGTTGAGAACAAGAACACAGAGCTCAGGCTTACCGGGGCCACACCCAGAACTAGTGGGCTGCATCAGCAGAAAGTCATAGGCAGAAGTCTCACTGCCCAACCTACTACGGGCCCAGCTATGCTTTCCACCCCCTGCTCTGGGCTGGACCATCCCTTCCAGGGTCCCCACACCCTGCAACTCACTCCAGCTCCTCCAGGTGGTGGCAGTGGCCCAGTCCAGACGCCAGGTGAGTGAGGCCCTGGGTGCTCACACAGCTGGAGGTCAGCCTGGTGGGGATGAAAGGGCAGCAGGTAAAATCAGAGTCCTGGGTTTCAGAGTCCTGAGAGCTGGTGGCAGAGGGCGGGATGTGGTTCCTGAGGACAGTGGGTAGGGGACACTTTGTCTTCATAAATCTCCCTGGACTGCCCCCTAAACTGGTCACTCAGGGAGCAACTTCACAGCCTACCCAATGTTAGGTCAAAGATCTGTTGGCCCCAGAGTTTCTTCTTGATGCAGTCAGTCACATTGGAAGAAAACTGAAAGTTAGGCTCTGTTTTTTCAACTGTTTTATTGATAATTGATTCAGGTGAGAATTTCCAATGAGTGTTAAAATCATGCATGAAAGTTTGAGGAAGAAGGGGACATTTATATAGTCTTAAACTATCTCCCCACAAGACATGTATTAATTACAAAGGGAAAATAGTAACTTTGCAAGAGAAGGAGTCTGGCAGACACTACCAACTCCAGGTGGCTCAGTTAGCACGCCCAGCAAGGGGACACACAGACATCGTGTGCCCCTGCGGGAGGCACTGAGAACACAGAATGGCTTGTGTCACATTCCTGCCTAAAATGCACTTTCTAAAGCTAAGTGTCAGGAGTCACTAGAAAAATTCAAGTTGAAGAATAGTCTGCAAAACAACTGGCCTGTAAATGTCAGAGACAATGTCATGAAAGACAAAGAAGACTGGAGAACTGTTCAGATTGAAGGGGACTAAAGAGTGGAGACAATAAATTAGCATATGATCCTGGATTGGCTCCGGGACAGGAAAAACAAAACAAAGCCCAAACAGCAGCAAATAAACATTGCTGGTACAAGTGGTAGGAGCGAAGTATAAACCGTAGTTAGATAATTGTGTATCAATGTTAATTTTCCTGAATTGTATAATTTTACAGGAGAATGGCCTTGTTCTTAGGAAATTTACTGAAATATTACGGGCTAAGGGGGGCATGATTATGCAACTTACTCTCAAATGGTTTGGGCATGGGGGGAGAAGGAAGGAGAAAAAGAGGAAGAGGATGAGGAAGAAGAGGAGAGGGAGGAAGGTGGGAAGAAATGAATAAATGTGCTAAAACATTGACAATGTGGAATTTGGGTAGATGTTGTATGGATATTCTCAGTCTTGTAACATTTTATTTGCAATTATATTTTTTTAAAAGGAAGGAAGGAAAAAATGAAAGAAGGACAAAGAAAAGTAGTGAGCTTTGAAAATGGAGTAACTTTCTTGTCATGTGGCACCAGATCCATGACCCTGTCCCTGTAGCCTTGTCTCTAGGACCCCTGTGGCACTTGCCCACAGCGGGGAACACAGAGTCCTCTGGCACAAGGCTGGGGACAAAGAGAGGTGTGGCGCAGGGCAGAGGCACTGGGGCCTGAGCAAGTCTGGTGTGCGTTACCGGAAGGTCTTCAGGTCACAGAGGGACAGCAGGAGGCTCTGCAGCAGCAGGAAGGTGGCATCGCTGGCATCGCAGAGGTTTACCTGGGACAGGCTGAAAAGGCCGAAGAATATTCCAGAGGATGGGAGGCTGGACACCATGGGGCTTACACATACACGCAGGGAGGTGTGGAGGGAGGGCCTCCCAGGAGCTCCCCTACACCACCCTGCGCAAAGACTGATGTAAGCTTTCTTGTGCAGGGAGAGAGAATACCCGGGCATATGTGGCCTGGACTGTGCACTGGGATCAACAGAGAGCCTAGGGCCTGGGACGGCGTTTCCAGGAGCTGACCTGAGCTGCTGCAGCCGGCGGCATGTCTCCATCAGCTGTCGGACAAGAAGGCTGTGGTGGGTCCCTAGGTCACAGTGAGCCAACCTGGAGGCAGACAGGGAGGTGGCAGTTTTGGAACACATGGTTCAGTATGAGTGATTCAATCCTTGCCTTCAAGGAGCTTATGGTACAAGGGTACATAAATTTTGGTCAAATGGAATTCCATAATTTGTTATTCAGTTATAAGCAATGGTGCAAAGGAGGGGTCCAGATGGGGCAGCTAGTATGGCTGTGCATGTTGTTCACTGCACAAGGGAGTATACCCAAGGGGGTGAACTGGACTGAGACCCAGCCATGCCGAACTCCCTAGAATGTATACATACAGGGCTGCATCTACTCAAGAGAGGTGACATTTTAATTTCCAGAAGTGTGCTATAGGAATTGGAGGTGGTATGCATCCAGGCATCCATGAGAATGAATAACAGGAAGATCTGACTAAGTTTTGGGGATCAGTGGGCCTCCTCAAAGTGGTGTCATTTAAGCTGAGACTTGAAGGATAGAGAAGTATAGCCAATGAAAGAAGACAAATATAGCTGGGAAGAGAAAAGAGCCTGTGCAAAGGCCCTGAGGTCAAAGAGAGCAAGATGCTGTTCAAGGAACTGAAAGCTGTTGTGGAGATGACTGACCAGGGTTTGGGGTAGAGACAGAGAAGGTGGGCAGCAGACCTCACAGGCCATGGAGACACTGGACATGAAAAGACTGAGTAAGGGCATGAGAAATATTAGTCAGAAATAGCCATGTACCCTCCCCGTCACCAGCTATTCCCACCTGAGGGCCACCACCTCTGGGTTTTCTTCCTGACGAGGGAATTCCAGCTGGATGTAGAGCTGCTGCTGGGTCTCAGAGATGCTGAAGAGGAAAAGAGGTGCTGCTGAAGCCCGCTGCAGCTTTCCCCACCCAGCCTACGTCTCTAAGCTCCAGCTCCTCTGCCTGGATCACTATCCCGCTGCCGGGCCCAGTTGGGATGCGGGGAGAGCAATTGTTTCCCTGAGTCACATACACCAAAAATGGTGCTTTTCAAAAATTTTAAGTGACAAAGCTGAGGCTTTCCAGACCATGACAGCGAGCTACCGTAGCACGAAAGGGCTGTTCTGGAACATTCCCAGGGATGTGCTCATGGGCCACAGAGGGCTCGGTGGGGGATCGTCAGCAGGCTGCATTTGTACTCTGAACTCGCTGGCTTTGCCTGAAGGTCAGGTTCACTGGAGTGGGGCTGAGAGAGATGTTAAACTACCCCCAGGTCCTTCCTGGGTGCCTCCTGGTGGACAGCAGGTCTTGGGCCAGAAGCCACTGAGCGGATATCCGATGACATGGGTGGGGGATGCCAAAGCCTTGCTCTCACCTACTCCATGTCGTTCTGTCATCTCAGGTCACAATGCCATGGTGTGTGCAGCAGGGGCCACTTCCAAGCAACCAGCATACACTCCCAGCTAAGGCTTCCCGGACCCACAGCCCTTTGTCTTGAATCTGGTGCTGCCTTTCTCTACTTGACACTAACTCTGACTACTGCACAAGTCCCAGCAAATGTGTGTAGCCCCTCCCGTGTGCCCCAGGAAGTTCTGCCATACTGGGGGACACAGAGAACTCACTAGTGATAGAGCATTACCTCATAGGATAAGAGACTGATGGAAGGTCCCGAAGGTCATGAAAGAATGAAAAATTCAAGAGGTCCTATTCCCTGGACTCACCTTATGACAGTGACATTGCCTGAGGCCTGGGCACAGACTTCTAGCAGGGTAGGCACCCCAGCTCCACCGACCCACGGTTCCTCCACCCTGTTACAGAAAGGGGCACACAGATAAGGCCTGCTCACCATGGCAGCATTTGGCATCCTGGGGAGGGTTATTGCATGGAGGGACTGGAGGCTTTTTGGCCTGTTTTAAAACTATACAATTATACAATTAGGCATAAGCATAAAAAGGGAAACTTACATCATCCTTATTTCAAGAATCATTTTGCAACAACCCAAATGACAAATTTTTTTAAAAACAATATTTTTAGATTTCAGAAAAGATCCATATAATGTTACACGGCCAAGATAAGAAAAACAAACTGTACATAAAATATGATCCCAATTTTGTATTTTAAAAAGGGCAAAATATAGGAAGAGAAAGATGGAGATAAAGAATAAAAGGAAAATATATTAAGTGTGCATGCATTAATTTAGAAGTGGGATAAAAGAGAGGTGTTTAAAATATTCCTAGTGCAATTGAGGCGATACTCTTAAGTGAAATAAATAGGACACACATGTGTAAATACCGAATAGTTTCTCTGGTGTGAGAAACTGAAAGTGTAAATAAGGACTAAATGTATAATAGGTCATGTGAAATAGGAAGAAAAGGGGCAAAGGGGAGGGAAGTGGGAGGGCTAGGGGAAAGGATAGGAGGGAATGGGATTAATATGAGAAAATGGAAAAATAAGAACAAAATCTTTGTAAATAGGGAGGAATGGAGGGGTTGAAGGGAGGGCTGGGCAAGGGTGAAAAATAAGAACCAAGAGAGACTATGTAAAGGTGCAAATTTCCAATGATGAATGTCATTATATTGTATACCTAAAATGTACCAATGATTAGAATGAATAATCGATAATGCAAAATAGGAAGAAAAGGTCCAAAGGGGTAGGGGTAGTGGGAGGCACAGGGGAAAGGAAAGAAGGGAAAGGAAAAAATGCTGAGAAATGGAAAAAATGGAAATAAAGTCTTTGTAAATAGGGAAGGGTGGAGGGGGTGAAGGGAGGGCTAGGAATGGGAAAAAAATAAGAACCAAGATGGATTATGTAAAGGTACAATTCCCAATGAGAAATGTAATTGTGCTGTATACCTACAATGTACTAATAAAAGAATTTAATAAAGTGAAAAAAATATTCCTAGTGAAAGATTATATTGGATTATTTCTTTTCAAATACCATTTTTCTGCTTAAATACCATTTTTTCTTCTTTATGTTCTTCTGGATTTTTCACAAATTTCTACAATGAGGGCATATTGCTTTAGGCCTAGAAAAAGTTTTATTTTAAGATGTTATTTTGGGTGATCTAGGAATTCTGGATAAATGCCCAAAAGAATTAAAAGCAGAGGCACAAAGGACATATGTGAACACCTGTGTTCACAGCAGTGTCATTCATGAGGCCAAAATGCAGAAGCAACTCCAGGTCCACCAAAGACAAATAAACAGGAAGTTGTGACATGTGCCACACCATAGATGAGCCTTGCTGACATCACGCTAAGTGTAACGAGCCCGTCACCAAAGGACAAATACTGCATGGCTCTACTTACACAAGATGTCTAGAGTACTCAGACTCACGGAGACAGAAAGTAGCACCCGGCCGCCAGCGGCTGGGGGAATGGAAAGCGGGAACTTGTGGTACAGTTTCAGTTTTACAAGACGAAGAGATCAGAAGATCAGTAGCACAAAATGTGAATGTGCTTAGCACTACCGAGCTGTACATTTAAAAATGGTCAGAAGGGTGACTGTTATTATGTGTATTTTACCATAATTTAAAAATGTGATGTGGGGGAACAATCAGATCCCCTGGGTCTCAACGTGCGATCCAGCTGGGCAGCCTGCGGTGCAGTGACCACAGATCAACAGAGCCTGAAGAGCCAGCTCCAGCCCTTGCAAATGTGGACACTTCCTGCATCCTGGACCCATCTGAGGGACAGTGGAGACATTTTAGGTTAGACTAGGTAATGTGCGGCGTTAAGGAATTGTTACTGAGTTTCTCAGGTATCCTAATTAAACTGTGATTATGCAGAAAATGTACTTCCTTTTTAGTGATTCATGGTGAAATATTTAGGAGTGGTATTTTATGAGGTCTGTAATGTACTTTAAAATACTTTAGCCAGAAGATAAAAATATGAAGCAAACATGGAAAATGTGAGCAACTGTTGAATCTAGGTAATGGGATATGAGTTTTAAAATATTGTTCTCTCTACTTTCAGTATGCTTTTTTCTTGAATCTTTAAAATTATGGTGAACGTATAAACATTTTTTTGTTAGTTCAAATCCAGAGCCTTTGAACTGAGTTACATGCTTATCAGTTTTAAAATTGTATCTAGCCATCTATCTATCCATCCATCCATCCACCGGCCCACCCATCCATCTATTTTTAAGACAAGATCTTGCAAAGTTGCTAGGTTGCCCAGGCTAGGCTTAAACTTGCAATCCTCCTGCCTCAGCCTCCCAGAGTGCTGAGACTATAGGTGTACACCATCACACCTGGCTAGCATATTTATTTTATGTTATTTTTATCCTTGGTTGGGTATTCCTTTGGAAACTTTCTTTTATTTCCTAAACCCCAAAGCACAGGCACCATCGTGGGGAGGGAGAGCTTTTCTGTATGCCTGGGGATGACTCTGGGACTGCTAGGCAGGGTCTGCTCTGGGTCCAGGAGGTGGGGTTCTGGGTATGGGAAATGGCCAGGGGTGTGATTCAGGAGGCCCTGTCCTCCAGTACCCATCCAGCCAGAATTCATGCCATGGCCCCTCCCAGGGGCAGGAGGAAGATACCTGAGGCCAAGGAGGCCCGATGGCCGCCTCAGCAGGCTTAGAAGGATGGTCAGCTGCTTCAGGTCCAAGCAACACCGGGTCAGCCTGGGGACAGAGCGCTGTCACAGGTGTGGCCTTGCAGTGTGCCCCACCTTTCAGGTGTCCCCATGGGCTGGGCCTGACACTCACGTGAGCCCGGTCAGCTGGAGGGCCTGGCTGACGCTGCTGGCCAGTCTGACCACGTGCTCCGGCCCGAAGCTGCACTCGCTCAGCCTGAGGGTGGAAGGCCAGGGGCAGACCTAGTGAGGCCCACTTGGGCCGCTGGCCTGGCTTCTTCCCAGAATTCCTGGGAATCTGCTTGGGGGCCCCACTGAGGGAAGAGGCCAAAGACTCAGCCTGCCTTGGAGCCTCCTGGCTGTTTTCTGAGGACCCCATGCCCTCCAAGAAAGTGCTAGGAGCTGCTTGTGGAGCCGACTCTTCACCCAGCACTGCACCGGCCCCCGGTTGGCCAGAGGTACCTGCTTACACACAGTGTCTCATTTAATTCTCACAGCACCATTTATAGCAAGGAAGCTGATGAGCCCAAAGACACACAACTGGCAAGAGACAGGCTGGACAGGCCAGCCCACTGCCACACAGCCCTGCTCCGAGACTTCCAGGAGGGGCTTACATTGAGCTGGGGCTCAGAGGGTTGGGGGAATTTTCTCTCAGAAGGGGCCCAGTGTGAGCAGAGTTGGGAAGCTATGCCCTCATCTGTCCGGGCAGCATATGGGCAGAGAGCAAAGAATCCCGTGGCACTGCACCTGCCTTGCAAGCGCAAGGTCCTGTCTTCGATCCCTGGTACCAAAAAAAAAGAATCCTGTGGCTGCGGCACTGTATGTGGTGTGGTACATATGCGGTGTGTGTGGTGAGTGTACGTGAGCATGTGTGTGAGTATGTATGTGTTGTGTGTATGGTGTGTGTGACAGTGTGTGTGAGCATATCTGTAGTGTACGTGTGTGTTGTGTCACGTTTGTGTATGTGCTTTGTGTGTTGTATGTGTACACATGTGTGCTGTAGAGGCAGTGTCTGTGTGGTGTACGGTGTGTGTGGTACTGGGGGTGGGAGGTGACTGGGGGCTCAGACTGTGAGGGACAAGATTGGGCTAAGAGGTCTGGACTTCATCTTGTGGGCACTGGGGCTGGGAAGAGCTTAGCTCAGCATGCTGCAGTCAGGCGTATGCTGTGAGGGAGCTGTGGGTTCCCAGGGCAGAGGGACTGGGGGAGGCCCGGCCAGAGGCAAAGGGACCAGTTTGGAGGCCGAGTTCACAGCTAAAGTACGACCTGCAGAGGAACTGGCCAGGCAGGGATGGTGAGGCTCTCCAGTGAGCCAGGCCTCTCTCCTCCGTGCTTGTGAACACGCTTAATCCTCGCAATCACCCCAAAGGCAGGATGTGCTAGGATCCCTAGTATACAGATGAGGAGCTGAAATTGAGAGGTTCTGTAACTCATCTGGGGTCACAGCTACAGAGCAGCAGGCTAGGATTTATTCCCAGGAGGCTCCAGAATCTTAGCCAGGGGCTTCAGACTCAAGCTATTGTTGGGAAGTGGCTAAGAGGCACACATAACAATGCAAAGGCCCTGCCCCAGACTGCAGGCATGGGGACCTCCTGGAAGACCTGGGGGACCAATCCCAGGGAGTGAGCTCAGAGCAGGATGAGGAAGAGGAGGAGGAGGAGGAGGAAGAGGAGGAGGCTGGGGCAGAGGGCACGAGGTGCCATAGGCCAGCCTCCACTTCCCTTCTCTCTCCTGCCCATTACCCCACCAGGAATTACCTCAGGGTCATCCTAGCCTCCTCCTGCTTGGAGAAGCGAACCCAGAAGTTCTGCATGGAGCCCAGGCTGTAGAGAGAGGAGAGCCAGGAAGTGTGTCCACACCATTCTGTGAGGATGGGCAGACCTGGCTTTCCCACCCCATGGCACCCAGGCATGGGAGGACAGAGCCTGTGACCCCCTGCCCAGGAAAGCCTGAGACTCAGAGAGTGATGAGTTGCCCCAAGTCACACAGATGGCAAAATGTGGCCACCATCAGCCAGTCCTTACTTCACAGAGGCCTCCTCAACACGCAGGCAGGAGGGCAGAGTCTCCAGCAGGTGCAGGACACCTTCCTGAGAGATGCTGTTGTGACTCAGACTAGGAGAGAGACAAGGCTCAGGATGGCACTGCTCAGCCCCCTCGTCTCCCCTCCATCTGTCATTTCCCGGAAGTGAGGCTTCTGTGTCTACTCATTCCATTCTACAGATGGAGACAGTGAGGCCCAGAGAGGGGCCCAGAAGGGACGCTATCCCACACTGGCAGAGTAGCTGGAGCTGCCATCACTATGCCTGCTGCTGCTGCCCTGTGGCAGGGGTAGGGTGCTGACGGGGCCCTGCCACCAGCTCCAGCCCCACGTGGGTTGGGGACTGTCAGAGAACAAAGCTCAGTTGCCTAGCAACAGGTTGAATCCTGGCTCTGGCTGTCAGTCTCCCAAATTGCTGGGGAGATCAGGCAAGAGTGCGCATGACTTCCTGGGGACCCTTTCCTGCTGCAAGGACATCTTGAAATTCCTGTCACATAGGGATGGGATGAGCCAGGAAGGAACCAGGCAACTGCGTTCCCACATCCGCTGGTTAAGGATGAAATATGGCTTTCCTGTCCCAGGTCAGCTGAGTTGAAGCCGTAGCCTCTATTGAGTGGCTGTCAGAGGATCTGGCCATGGTGGGTATGAGAGAAGGAGGAAGGACACAAGTGTGTGTGTGGGGAAGTCCAGGTAAGAATAGTCCTTTCCCTCCCAGAGCTTTGTCCCCTGGGGTTCTAAAGAGGCCCGGAGGAGGATTCATGTCTCCTGTCTCCAGGCTGCTCCCCACTCACTCAAGCAAGCCAGAGATGGGCATCTGTGACAGGTGGTCTAGAAGGCACCTGAGCCCGTCATCACCCAGCAGGTTGGCTGTTAGGCTGTAGGAGGTAAGGAGCAGTTGGCAGTGGTCAGTGTGCCTCCTTGGGCTCTGCTTGCTTCTCATGGTCCCTACTTCTGGGTCTACTGTCATTGCTACTGACCATGCCATCCATCGTCAGCCACCCCCCGCCCCCGCCAGCACCACCAATATCATCACCACTCAACACCACCAGGCCCACCACATCCACCATCATTTCTGGCACCACTAGAATCGCCACCAGCTCCCACATTGCCTGCTACTCTCCCCGGATCAGCACACAGTAAGCCAGTCCTCATCTTCCCCTGCAATATCTGGCTCCTGGGACTCCAGCAGGATTTCCGGACTTGGAGAAAAACCATTTAGCTTTGCGCCTACCCCTGGCCTGCATAAATCGGGAGCCACAATTTCTGAACCAGAATAAATTCAGGAAAAAAATATTTGGAGAATACATTTCCCCAACAGATTTGTTCTTTTAAACGGGGAGTTTGGTATCTATCAGAAACTGTATCCAAATACTTTCTGACTTCCCTTCCTTGTAGCATTCTGTACTTTAGCTACAATTTCAGAAACAATATAACCAGTGTGCCCCCAAACATCTGAATTTCCTCCTACATCTTTGGTACTTCAGATGCTTCTTTATTTTATCTTTTCCTGAGATGTTTCATTTAAAAATTGCTTTGGGGCGGGGGATTTAGCTCAGTGGTTTCGCCGCCAGCTGCACAAGCTCAAGGACCCGAGTTCAATCCCCGGTACCAAAAAAAAAAAAAAAATTGCTTTGTCTCCACATGTATAAATACCAAATAGTTTCTCTGGTGTGAGAAACTGAAAGTGTAAATAAGGACTAAAATGTATAATAGGTAATGTGAAATAGGAAGAAAAGGGGCAAAGGGGAAGGAAGTGGGAGGGCTAGGGGAAAGGATAGAAGGGAATGGGATTAATATGAGAAAATGGAAAAATAGGAACAAAATCTTTGTAAATAGGGAGGAATGGAGGGGTTGAAGGGAGGGCTGGGCAAGGGTGAAAAATAAGAACCAAGAGAGACTATGTAAAGGTGCAAATTTCCAATGATGAATGTCATTATATTGTATACCTAAAATGTACCAAAGATTAGAATGAATAATCGATAATGTAAAATAGGAAGAAAAGGTCCAAAGGGGTAGAGGTAGTGGGAGGGGCAGGGGAAAGGAAAGAAGGGAAAGGAAAAATGCTGAGAAATGGAAAAAATGGAAATAAAGTCTTTGTAAATAGGGAAGGGTGGAGGGGGTGAAGGGAGGGCTAGGAATGGGGAAAAAATAAGAACCAAGATGCATTATGTAAAGGTACAATTCCCAGTGAGAAATGTAATTGTGTTGTGTACCTAAAATATACCAATAAAAGAATTTAATTTAAAAAATTGCTTTGTCTCATAAAGCCACTTAATAAAACGATCTTTAAAATAAGAAAAAAAATCCCTCTACAATGAAAAACAGAAAAACTTGGAAACATATCATATGGTTCATTCATCTTTCTTTAAAATACATGATTTCATCACTCACAATTCTTTCTTGACCATAACACAACCAGAATTTAAACTTTTTTCTTTCCTTTCCTCTCTCTCTCTCTTTTTCCAGAGATAGCTCCTTTATTTCCCAACTGTCCTACGCTGGATCCTAACACTTCTGAGTAAAGACTGTATTGCACTTGCTGTGTGACTTGAGGCAAATTCTTAAATTTTGTGTCCCAATGCCTTCATCTGTAAAATGGTAGCATCTGTAAAGTGGTGGTACCTAGGGTTGCTGGAATGATTCAAAAGAACACAAGAAGCACTTAAAACAGTGGAGAAAGTGCCTGTCAGGTGTTTGCTGTTAGGATGGTCCCATCCATGTAGGGCTTGTACTCCGGGCACCCAGGAGAGGCCACAGGGATGAAAGCCTCAACCTGCCTGGCTGAGGTCCCTCCTCAGTTAGCCATTTGGTACTCATGACCACCTGCCAGGCAAACCAATGGATCCTGCACTGTAGCCCCCATCTGCCTGCAGCTTGGACCTATGGACCAACAGAAGGTTGAGGGGGCCTCTAACCCTTTCTGAGGGCTGCACAAGTTACCAGGACAGGCATAAAAGTAGCTCTCCCCCTGGAGGAGTGAGGGTGGGAGAGGGACAGAGAATGCTATAGAGAAGCCTGAGGGATGTGGCCAGAATCTCATGCTTCCCCTGACAGCTGGCCCTAGGGGTGGAGGTAGGCACACAAGAGTGCATGTATGCACACAGACACACATATTCATGCCCCCCTCCCTGAGTCCTACGTAGGTACATGCCCCCCCCCCACTCACTCCAGCTGGCAGAGGTAATCACACTTGCTCAGTGCCCGGCACAGTGGCGCCACATGCTCCTGGCGGAGGCTGCAGCCCGTGAACCTGCGGGCAATGGGATGTGAGCTGGGGAGGGGGTGTTCAGCTGCTCTGACCATCTCCATCCCGGCTGGTCCTGGGTGTGCTGCCTAGCTCGGGGTCCCCACCCAAGCCGGAGTCTTCTGAAAATACCCAGCATTCACTGCTCCCACTCTCCAGCAGGTCCCACTTGGAACCCACATCCTCCCTCTGGGTGGGGGGCAGTTCTCAAAGTGTGGTCCTCCCAAATTAAAAGCTGCATCGCCACCACTTGGGAACTTGAGATGCAAATTCTGGGACCCCTACCAAACCCACTGAGTTGGAGATCCTGGGGGAAGGCCCTGCAGGGGATTCTGAGTCAAGCTGTGCCCAAACCCATGGGCTTCCCAGTCATGGTTTGGGGGGACTTACCCACAGCACACACCTTCCTGCTCCTCGCTGGACCTGAATCGCAGTGTGGCATTGCGCAGGGACCTGGAACAGACAGCACCTGGGTCTTGGGTGCTCCCCAGGGGAGGTGCTCCTCCTCCAGAAGCCCAGCCTCTGGCCCAGGTCCTGGTGTCTTCATGCCTCTTTGCATCCCTCTGGTCTCCAGGCCAAACCCTCAGAGACCTGTCCTTGTCCTAGAACAATGCCCACCTGAGATCCACCTTCTGAACCCGTGGGCACTGGCTGACAATGCTGGCCAGCAGGAAAGGGCTTTTCAGGGGCAGTCCTGTCTGGCTCAGCCTGAGAAGGAAAGTGGCAGTACATTCAAGATCAGGGACAAAAAACCAGGATAGGCTGCAGGGGGAGGAAGAGGAGGATGTGGGGGGCTGGCAGCTCACCAGGGCAATGAAGAAGAAGGCAGGGATTCAAGAGGCATAAACAGGGGCTGGGAGCAAGCAGACTTGGGGTTGGGTCCTAGCTGTGCTTCCTGGCCTTTGACCTTGAACAAGCCACTTGTTCTCTGCACTTCCATCTCCTCATCTGGAAAGAGGACTAGTCATGCTAAACCTTCCTGGCCAGTGTATGAGGATATGCTTACATCTAATGGGCACACAGCCTGGCATGATACCCATGCTTATTATTATAACTGCTCATTGGAAGGGTGAGTCCTTGCTGATAGAGTGAGAAGCTGCAGGAGCTCTGGGCAGTTTCTTGACTCAGTGCTGTTGAGATGTGGAGTCTGATCATTCTTTGCTGTGAGGGGCAGCTGTCCTTGCTCTGTGGAGAATTTGGCAGTGTGCCGACCTCTGCTCATTAGAGGCAGTAGCGGCACCCCTGTCCCTAGTTATGATACCAAAAATATCTCCACATGTTGTCCAAAGTTCTCTTGAGGGGCAAAATTACCCTCAGTTACAAATTTCACCGTAGGGAAAATGAGGCGGGTCCATGCTGCCCTGGGAGGTGACCTCAGCACCCCCACAAACCTCCATCAGCTCATCTCACCAAGACACGCCCTGTGTCCACCCAACCTCCCCACTGACTCTCAGCTCCTTCCCTTCTTACCGGGGCTCACACAGCTCCTCCCTCCTCTCCTTTCTCCGCTTGTCCCAGGCCCCTCTCTATCTAGTGGTCACAATGAACTTTAAATATCCAAATTAGTTCTCTACCTTTCAAATTCCCTGGGACAAAGACCCAAGCTTCTCGCCATGGCTACCAGGCTCGTGAGGCCCAGCCCTGGCCAACTCTCTCTACCTCCTGTCCCTCGGTCTCCCTGTCAGACACCATGCTCAGGCCTCCATGGCCTCTGGGCCGTTTCTGGAGCCCACCAAGCTCGCCTGACTCAGCTTCTCAAAGGCTGTTCCCTGTGTCTGCACGCATTTCCCTGCTCTTCCCAAGGCTGGCTCCCTCCTCTCCTTCAGACACAGCTCAGCGTTTATCCTCAGAACAGTCCCTGACCACAGCTACCATCATCCCAATCTCCTCTCCAGCAACTCATTTACCTCCCGGGAGAAACACCTTCCCACTGGCTGCACTCACTGTATTTGATCTCACCTCCGGACTTCAAGGTGTGCTCCGAGGAAACAAGGACCTCTGCCAAGTCCCCAGCACAAACACCTTGGGCTGAGTAATGGAAAGTTGAAGCCCCTGGCAAGGGACAGGCTGGCCACCCCTTTCCAAAGACAGACAAGGAGGGGGGCGGGCGGATGTTGTGTGACTTAGGCACACAGAAGGCCCATTCTGATCTGGGGTTTCCTGTGTGTTCATTTTGTGACTAAAGGATCCCTTCCTGATCTGCTCTCTCCAGGCAAGGTGGGGGCTGTGAGCGGGCATGTGAGCGGCTCTGCACCCGCCCACCTCCGGCAGGTTGTCACATCTGCTTCTTCCCTGTAGGACCGAGGATAAGTGAGACCCTGGAGGTGATGTGAGCCAGCCCAGGCACCTCAGAGAGCCCCAGCCTCAGCACTTACGGTGCTGCTGTTAACATTATGATTTAATTTCCTGTTGTATTTTTCTATCTCAGCTGCAGCTGCTTTCCCCCCTGCTAGAAGAATATTTAAAGTAAATCCTTTCTAAATTCTAACCAGTCTGAGCTGAAATTAGAAGAGAGCTCTAAATACTTAGGGAGATGCTGCTTGAATTCTTCCCTCTAACAGAGTTAGATGTTGACCTTTAAAAAACAGTGTGTGACATATACATGACCCACATCTGTGCAGGCCCTTTTTAGGGCTAGGTGACCTTTCCATGGGTGAGAGAGCACGACAGTCTGCTGGCCATGCTTGTTCCTTCTTAAGAGCATCTTGAGCAACTGGTCTGTGTGAGGCTCAACCCCAGGGAAGGGCTGGGAAGTACTGATCCCATCTGTCAGATGAGGAAACTGAAACACAGAGGGGACCAATAACTGCCTCTGAGGTTGACAAAGTACTAGGGAAGAGCTGGAAGCAGATTCGAGTCTCTATTTGTGCCAGCAAGATGATGAGTGTCCAGGAGAAAGGGAGGGAAGAGGAGGAAGGCTTTGTGGACAAGAGTCTCAGGGTCAGGGCACTGGGTGGGCAGAGGCAGGACCAGGACTCGTCCAGTCTTACTGCAGCAGGCTTAGCTGAGGCAGCCGGGGCAAGCAGTGCAGCAGGGTCTCCAGGCTCTGGTCGCTCAGGGTCTCACAGGACAATCTGTGAAAGAAAGCATCTAAATGAATAGGGGGATCTTTTAGAAAAACAGAGAGGCTGGGTTCACAGCCCGAGCCTTTTGGAGATGTAAGCAAGCCGGTGTTACCTGAAACACTACCTCCCAACACTGAGTCCTTGAGTTAAACTATGGGGCTGGGAAAAGGGGATGGCCACATAAGTTTGGAAAAGACTGGGTCCGACTAAACGAAATCATTTTCTGTGCTGCAGGACTTCTCTGAGGCTTGAATAGGCTGCTACGTGTTGCAAATTCCCAAGGGGCTATAGTAGACTTTTCCTCAACTAAATGGATGAGTAGGATTTTTTTTTTTTTAGTTCTTTTATTGGTACATTTTAGGTATACAATTTGTTTACATTTACCCTTGGGTGTTTGTACCTGTACATGATACATCTTGGTTCTTATTCCCCCCCCCATTACCTGTGCACCCTTTACCCTCTCCACCCTTCCCTATTTACATAGATTTCATTTCCATTTTTGAGCAGGATTATTATTGATGAAGATTAGTGATCTATAAAACACATTCATTAAGAAAAGAAGTCAGGCATGGTGTCTATAATTCCAGCCCTTTGGCAGGCTCAGAGAGGACTGCAAGTTTGAACCTAACCTGGGCAACTTGGTAACTTAGAGAGACCCTGTCTCAAAAAATAAAACAAAGAAAATAAAAATTTAAAAAAGGACTGAGATGTAGCTCAGTGTGAAGGTCTTGGATTCAATACCTAGTATAAAAAATTCCTCTTTCATCCAGAGGGGTGATCAGGTTAGCAGAGACCCAGCATGGGAAAGACGAGGCTGGCTCTGGTCTCTGTGGCCAGTAAAACTGACCCACCAGTTCATCACTCATCCGGGTAATTCAACAGAACCCTATGGACAGAGGAGAAATTCCAGATGCCTGCCTTGGGTCTCTGCGCTCTCTGAGCACCTGGGATTTACATGCGCCCCTCCGCTGGGGGACAGGAACCACTTCCTGCTCCCAGAGCCTTGCCATGTGGTCTCCTCCTATCTTCTCCACCTTTGTCCTTTGCTGCCCTTCTTTCCTTATCCCTGTCCCTTTGGCCCCCTTCAGGCTGACCCTTTCCCCACACTCTGGCTTCCAGCTGCTCCACCCGTCTATCTCCATTGGGGAAGAGGGGGTGCAGGATCCCAGCCTCAATTTGGGGGAGAATGTTGTGGGAGGAGCAGTCCATGGTTCTGGAGCAGGAGCCCATGGTGCCAACTCTGCCAGGGCCCAGCTGCAGGCTCAGCTCTGTCCTTTCAGTCTCAGGGCCAGGGTGAGAGCCTGAAGAACAGCCAGACCTGGGGTCTTCACCAAGGTTGATCTTTCCATAACACCTCTGGGATGGGGCTCCCCACCTGACCCCAAACACACAGTTCTGTGGCCTCTGTTTGGGTAAAAACAGGGTTTACGCACTTTTTTAAAAACAATGGAAACTTTACTCATTGTATCACCCCACACGGTACACCAAGAGGAACTGAGACAAGGTGGAGCAGTGGTGGTTGAATGGAACCCCCCCTCCCTGGCCTCCCTGGAAAAATCCCAGGAGCCAGCGAGCCAAGTGCTGTACTTCTACGTTCAGTACCTTGAAGCTTATTGATAACAATAAGTGGCCACAGCACTCAACAGTTGGCAAAGTACTTTCATACTCATTATCCCACTTCTAGCAATAGCTGAGACTCAACAGTGCTCAGACCTCCGAAGGCCCTATTGCCAAAGGTGAGCCCTGACCTACAGCATCCTGTCGTTGTGTCCTACAGGGCCTGGCCCAGGGTATGGGATACAGTAGCTGCTTAACAGTTAAATGAGGAAGAGCTCTTTGGAGCATTGCTGTGGGGCTCCTGGGAGCGGCCTGGACATCCTAGGGGGTGGGAGGAATCGTGTGCACACCCACCCGTGCTGTGGATGGACAAAAGTGTACACTCTGTAAAACATACATGAGAGGTGATCAGGGACAATTAAATATTGATGGGATATTTGATAATTTTAAGGAATCGTTAATATTTTAGATTTGATAATGATTTTGTGGTTATGTTAAAAATACAGAGCACTTATTGCTATGCATACTGAAATATTTACAGACAAAATTATATGGTATTTGAGAATTGCTTCAAAATAACTCAGAGTAGCCAGGCACAGTGGTGAGCACTTGTAATCCCAGCACAGTGAGAGGCTGAGGCAAGAAGATTGCATGTTCAAGCCTAGCCTGGACAATTAAGTGATTTAGTAAGACCCTGTCTCAAAATTTTAAAATGGGATGGAGAAACAGCTCAGTGTGAAGGCCCTGGGTTCAATCACCAATACTGAAAACAAGTAAATCAGCAAACAAAACAAAAAACCCTCAGAGTGTGTATGCATGCATGTGTGTGTGTGTGTTGAGGCTGTGAGGTAATAACTATTGAGGTAGGTGGAGGGTACTTGAGTGTCCTTTACACTTTTTCACTACTTTTATATCATAATAAAAGTGCTGTTTAAATTAAAAAGTAACTTTACAGTGGGGAATCTCAGCTCAGCCTTGGCCAGGTGATGAAGGTCACTATCAACATTCAGCCCTGAGAAGATGTGCTGAGAAGGCCACTTTGCCTCTGCAGTGTTGTTCCCCAAATCCATAACCCACTTTAACCAGGAGAAAAACACCAGACAAGCCCTAACCAAGGGACAGCTTGCAAAATATCTGACCAGTGCTCCTCGAAATGGACCACCAGAGACCAGAGGAGACTAAGGTTTAAATGCAATGTAGGGTCCCAGTTGAGACTCTGGATCAGAGGCAGAATAGACGTTAGTGGAAAGGTTAGCAAAGGTGAAGTTAGTTGTGTATCAAGGTTGGTTTCTTCATTGTGACAAATGCAGTGTACGATGCTGATAAAAAGGGAAAGTGTTTCCAACTTTTCTTTTTTTTTCCTCCAGTACTGAGGATCAAACACAGGACCTTGAGCTTCTGAGGCAGGTAAGGCACCACTGAGCTAAATCCCCAGCACCAACTTGTCTGTAAATAAAATCTAAAACTTTTCTAAGGTAGCTTGTTAAAAAAAAATGAATCAGTGCTGGGTGTGGTGCATGCCTGTAATACCAGGTACTTGGGAGGCTGACCCAAGTTTGAGGTCAACTTGGGCAACTTCACGAGACCCATACAAAAAAAAAAAAAAAAAAAAGGGAATTGGGTCCATATAGCTTGATCTTCAGGGAAACCATGTTCTACAGTTCTAAGACAAGAGCTAGTTGCAGAGAGATCTAGCATGGTAATATCCTTTGTCTGTCAAGCAATGTAAAAACTCCCCTTCCCTGACCACATGTGTCCAAACACAGAGCAAAGCATAGGAAGGACACTCAGGGGTCAGAACAGATCATCTTGTTGGAAAAGGTGGAAAGGCATTTGAAATGGAGCCAGAAAACAAGGAACAGCACTGTAGCAAAATAGAAAAACATATATGGAGTGACATAAGTGAAATTGTGGACTGCAAATAAATGCTAAGCATCTGAAAATCCAAAATCCAAAACTTGTTGAGCACTGATGCAACAGCAGAAGGGGAAAATTCCTGACTGCATGTGAGGGGTCAGCAGTCAAAATGTAGTCACACCAAAAATGTGTAAAATGACCTTCAGGCTATTGCACAAGGTGTATACAAAACAAGTGAATTTTGTGTTTAGATGTGGGTTCCATCCCTACTATGTCTCATTATGTATATGCAATTATCTTAAAATCTGAAAAAAAAAATCCCAGATCCAAAGCACTTCATGGTCCCATGCATTTTGCATAAGGTATGTTCAGCCTGTAGGAGAAAACAAAATAGGCTAATGGGCAAGAAGCAGAAGGTCACCTGGACAAAGGACAGCGTTGGTGGGGTCAGAGAAAAGGGGTTGTTTGGTGAGGAAGGCTTTGGCTTGGGGTTCTTTGTTTTAAGGTGATTATTGTAATAAAATTACAACAGTAACAGTCAAAGGGAAGTGACCATCCATTCTAAGGAAGTTGAAGCCCAGGAAGTTAGTCATTTCTCCAAAGTCACCCAGCTTGTAGGTGGCTGAGTCAAGACTCCCGATTGTAAACCTAGTCTTTGGTCGTGGCCCAGGTGTTCTGGGTGTGTGTGGGCTGGGAGAAGGGGAGACCCCAGGGAGAGGGTTACCCCAAGGAAGAGCCTTGGAAAGCCCTAAGCTCTGGCCACAGAGGCGGGCCTGAATGGTGCCTGCCTGAGGACAGGTGGGGCTCCTGGGTGCCGCATGTGGGAAGGTAAAGGGCGGAGCTCTGAGAGGGGCATTACGGTGCCCAAGGTCTGGGCGGGGTGCTGGAAGACAACCAACCCCCTAAAAGGCCCGGAGACTCCCATAGGTAGGGCTAGCAGGGTCTGGCGGAAAGGGACAAGGACAGACTCCCTGGCTTCTAACGAGGCAGCCCCTCCCAGGGACAGTCGCTGGACAGATGCCCACATGGTGCTCTTTGGGCTGTGCCTTGTCACTTACTTGACTTCCAGTGGCCCTGACCACTTCTCCAGAGCTGTGCAGAGGTGAGTGAGGCTCAGAGGCTCCAGCTGACACTTCTTGAGGCTGAGACAGGGCAGGAGGCAGGGCAGGGGATAAGAGAGGGCCAGGGCCCCTTCCAGCCAGGGACACCCCTCTCTGCAAGGCACTCTCTGCTCTCCACTGTTTCCCCTACAGCTCTGTTGAAGGCGTTTCTCCTCTGGGAGGACTTCATGACCCAGTTGGGGTCTCGTAGCCCCTCACTGCAGAGCTGGAGGACCCTCCTAAACCCCAGGGCATGTTCTAGCAAAAGCAGGCTGCCTTTCTTTCTCTGCAGCCCAACTTTCCTTGTACTTCTTTGTATATTTGGGGAGAGAGGCTATCTGCTTCTAGAAAATGGTGTCCCAAAGCAGAGACAGCCCCAGACAGGGAGCAGCTGGGCGGGCTGTCCTGTGTGCTGCAGATAAATTCGGACTCTCTCTAAGGAGAAGACCAAGGCCTAGGCCCACTGAGCGGCCCCAAACCCCAGCCCCTGCCCTCACACACACCCCACTTTTCCCTTCTGTCAAGCTCTCTCTTTTCCCTTTGTCCCAATCCCCAGCCTTAGGGCCCTAGGCTCTGCCCGCTTCCTGACCCCTCACCCCTATTGTGGTTACCCCCAAGGAAGAAGTGGGAGAAAGTACCAGAAGCTCCTGGGGACACAGTGCTGATGGAAACCTGCAAGTTGAGCTCCTGCTGGGAATTCTGGCAAAGATTCACCAGCCAGTTTGTCCCTGGAAGTGGGGAGACCGTGACAAAAGGAAAGTTCAAGTCATTCACATTAGACCCCAGCACTCAGAAGTCAGGGATCTAGTCAAGGGACTAGATCCGAGTCCAGCCCCTCATTGTACAGGTGGGAAACTGAGACCCCGGAAAGGAAGCCAGCAGCTTATACATGTCCAGGTGGGCAGCACCTGACTAGGTTAGAGGAGTCAGGACAGAGCCCTCCCTACTCTGACCACTGAGGTAGCATTCATGACTTCTGCCTCCCTGTACCTCAGCCCTTTGCGCTTCAAGACTCCAGGGGATCCCTCAGAACAGAGACCCTAGCCTGAGAGCAAGACCACCTGGCCTTGGGCCACTCCTGAGTTCAGACAGCCATCTGTATGGCTGTGCCAGAAGCCCCCTCTTGGCATACAGCCTTCCCAGGTGAGGCCAGGACACCTGTCCCCACTAGGGGGCAGCCAGAGACAGCTGCAAAGGGCTAAACCCATTCATTGTTTGCTATGAGGATGTGGAACTTATTTTTTTTTTCCCCCAGAGCACCAATGATTCCCTGCTTCTTAAGGGTGATTCTCACAGTGTGAAAGGGCAATGATCCATATTAAGCTGTGTGGGCAGAAGTCACCCCAGAGCAGAAAACTAACTGCTCTCCTGGCTGTACCCAGCAACTCCTCTGCCCTGGAGTCAACCACCAGGGCCTCTGCTCTGCAAACCACCTTGCTCCAGGACAGATTTATGCCACTGGTCACTATTTACATGGTGTGTGGGGGCAAGGGAGGTACAGAAGCAGGCTTAATTCCAGTGTGTCAGACCCCAGTGCTCTACTCTTGGCCTAAGTGGACCCTAGCAAGAGGGAGATCCCCCCTTCCCAGAACGCCCCTCCTCACCTGCCTCTCTTGTCACCTCTCAGGAGGATGTGCTGGCTCTCAAAGCTGGAAGTAAAGAGGAAGCAGAGGTCTGAGAAAGGGCAAAGGGCTTCTTCCAAGTCCCTGAGAGACAGGCCTGGCCAGGTCATGAAGGCTGGAAGGTGGCCTGCTGTTTTAGTGACTATCACAATCAGTCGATTCAGCAATCTACATTTATCAAGGCATATATGGAATGTGCCACCACTGTTATCTCACTGCCTTCTCACAACACAGCTGCAAAGGAAGAAATTATTCTTAGATCCATTTTGCAAACAAGGACACCAAGGCAGGACAAGCTCCAGGACATGCTCAAAGCTGCCACAACTGGGAAGCAGTGAAGCCTGGTCCATCTGCCATGGCACCTCCACTCTTGGGGACCCTTAGGGTTGGACGAGGGAGGCAGTGCTCGCCTGAACCGTAGAAGTACTTCATGGGAGCTGCTGGGCTGGCTGCTGTCTGCCCTCTAGGTTGATCAGCTCCAGAGATCTCACAATTAGGACAGGTCCTGGAGTCCCCAGGGGCTACCAGGCAGGTCCAAACTTGCCTGTAAATCTCTGAGGACAGTCTAGGGAACGAGTAAGAGAGTCGATGGACTCTGTTCTATGGTGAATTGGAAAAATTCGAGTGTGTCTGAGGCCACATTCACTCATTCATATAATCGTTCATTCAGTGGGCAACTGCCATGTGCTCACGGCACCTGGTGCTGTCCAGGGCTCTATGGATGATACTTGGTGACATGGCAGAAGAGGGGCCCAAGTAGGAACTGATGCCCTATGGCATGAAGGGTACAGCTGGTAGAAACAGAGAGGCGCACTCACCTTACTTCCAGGTGGCAAACCCATTGCAGAGTGGACAGGCACTGGGTCAGACGGAACACGGCATCCAGGGCTATGCCATTCTCACTGAGGCTGGAGATTACAAGGGTGACACTGATGGAAGCCACCCGGTACCTGGACACACAATGTGTCAGTGAACCAGGAACGTGAGGCTGTCTCTGTTTCCAGATGACAAACACTGAGCACCAGGTGGTTGGAGAGCACCCCTCAACTTCATAGTACAACTGAGGAGACAGGCCCGACACAGGCCAATGTGGTCTATGATGACCAGCCATGTTGGTGACAGAGCCCAGACCAGAAGCCAGTGGTTCCCTTGGTCAGTGATGGATCTAAAGAGTGCTTTAGGCCAGAGCTGGGCTCTGTCTCCCCATCTGACGAAGGGCATGGTTCTAGTGCAAAACAGAAATGTGGCCCTCTGCTCAAAAAGCAGGGACCAAGCTTCCCTTCTTTCCTGGTCCCTCTGCCATTGTATTTGCCATTTAAATTTTCTCCTCAAGCACAGAGCCTCCCAGCACTGGCTCAGCTAGAACCCAGGGTGATACAAAGGCCACCTGGGAGTGAGCCGTATACTCAGTGTGTACATCAACTGCCTACAGAGCAAAGACTTTCCCTCCCGGTCAAGTGCAGGCCCCAAGCAGGGTCAGAGATGACATCCTCCCCTTCTCTGCTTCCTCAGGACACTGCTGTCCAAGCAGGAAGGGCCCTGAGGTTGCAGCACTTACTCCAGAGGCTGTAGCCACAAGCAGTGACCACACCTACAGTTGTCCCTTTACTGACGGAGCCAAGGGCTCAGAGAGGTGACAACTTGCCCAAGGTCACATAGTAAGTAGGTCAGCCACCTGAAACCTAGGACCTACCACTTCTTACCAAGGTTCCTCATGCTTTGGCCTAGAAAAGCTTGGGAGGAGAAGGAAGCTGCGTGTGCCAAGAACACTTGGGGCCAGGAACTTTGGTCTGCTTTGGGGTGCTTCCCTCCCAGGCTGAACACCTCCCCTCTCTTCCTCAGGTATGCAGGACCTTTGGGCAGCCCTAGACACCTGCTTGCCCTAGACACCTCTGTGCTCTAAACCCTCCCTTCTTACCCAGCACAAGACCTGTAAAACAACCCTTTCCTGGAACCCTGAAGCCAAAAGGGCTGCTGGCCACCTATCACCTACTATGTTCCCAGACTTCCACAGTGCTTCCCATAACACCCCATTCTCCCCTAACATTGGCTGAGCTGCCCATGGCCCAGGGAGCCCTGCAGAGACACAGGGAATGACCTGAGCAGTGAAGGCTAAAGCCAAATCACTGAGTCACAAGCCCAGAGTCTCTGTGAAGTGAGCTGTTGCTTGTGCTAATCTGAATAGGCAGTGAGGTAGCTGCTGCCCTTTACTGAGCTGTCGCCCTGCCAAGGTCAGGGACTAGGCCCAGGGATCCATGTGCATTTTCTCATTGCATCTTTACCATAACCCCAGGAGGATGGCAAGGGGACACAGAATGCTTCCACTCATCCTGCAGAGGACAACTCCAGGGGCTCTACCAGGTGGCTACTTACTTCAAGGACTGAAGAGATCCCAGCCCTGGGAGCAGCTGGGCCAACAGCATGGCCCCTTCATCCTTTAGAGCGTTGCCTGAGAAGCTGAAATGGGAAGGGAAGGGAAGGGTCACCTGAGGCTGGGTGGGCTCAGCAGCAACATGGCTCACTGGAACCCTGCCCTGACCCTCCCAGCTTTTCCTGAGACCCAGACACAGCCTAGGCCACCTGAACAGGCCTCAGTCTGTCCCACATAGGCAGCTGGGGGTTCCTCTGGGCTCTTCTGTGAGATTCATGGACTCCAAGGGGACCAGGGTGGGCTTCAGAAGCACATATCTTTGAGGAGAAAATCATAACTTTCACCAGATTCTCTGACTTCAGGAGGGAAAGAACTGCTGATCTAAATCTTAAAAAACAAATCAAAACCCAGCACTCTGGGAGGCTGAGGCAGGAGCATTGAAAGTGTGAGCCCAGCCTGGCTACTGTAGTGAGACCCTTTCTCAAAATAAAAAGGGCTAGGGAATGTAGCTCAGTATGAAGGCCCTGGATTCAATCCCTAGTATCACAAAACAAAAAATAAAAACACCAAATAACCCCAAAGTGAAACACCAACACACTAACACGGAGGCACTCTGATCGTCCCCACGTGCTGCCTTCCGAGGCGCAAACACTCACTCGAGGTGTCCAAGATGGGGGAGGAGGCAGCTTCCTTCCAGCGCCTTACAGAGCTTCTCTAGGTGCTTGGCCCGGAAGCCACAGTGTGTTAGCCTGCAGAGGGGCAGATCCACAGCTCTGTACCACCTGCCTGCTGCACAGAGATGACAGCCACCTGTCTCCCCAGACCTAGAGAGCCAGGCTTCCGGGGAAGGAGGAACCTTAGCACGTCTGGCATCCAGACAGACAGACAGGCAGACAGGCAGGCAGAGAGACAGACAGACAAGAGGGTTCAACACACACACAACATCTGTAAGAGGTCACACACAGGCAGAAAGTCAGAGATGAGAGAGAGAGAGACAGGAAAACAGACAAGAAGGCTAAAAGCAGTAGAGAAAGAGAAACTATGAAAGACACAGGGAATGAGAGAGAGAGAGACAGAGCTGAGAGGGAGGTATGAACAGACAGAACAGGAGGAGGGGAGGAGTGTGGGCAGGAGGTCTGCAGGGACCAGGCTGAGCCCCAGTGAGGCCGCAAGTCAGGAGGGCAGGGCTACCCTCTTCTCCTTCAGTGTCCCCTCAACCCTACTGCTGCTGGGGCTTGGGGAGCCCAGGGAGGTGACTGAAGGGGCTGCCCCAGGCTACAAAGGAAGGAGGAAAAATGGAAGCCAGCACACAACTCTTGGATGCTGCAGGGTGTGGTGACCCTAAGGAGCATGTGGGCTTGGGGTTGAGGCCTGGGGACAAGGAAGGGAGGAAGCTGGTACCCACATGCCAGGCTATCACCATACCTGATCCCTCGGTAAGGCTCAGAGGCTGTTGGGGATGTAAAGTTGTCTAGAAATGCAGCCCTGTAGGGGACAAACACCAAAGCCCTCCAGCAGATGCCTCGTCCACTGTCTCTGAAGTCCACCCCCACCTCGCCCGCCACGTCAGCCTCTACTCAGCCTGGAGTCAGTGCAACCTCAGTTCCCATTTGGCCTGGTGTGTGACACGACAAGTTGCCCAACCCCGCAGTGGGGTAATATACATGTGAATTGTTTTAGTTCAGTGTTTGGTGCACATATAGAAAATGCTCTATTAACCTTGGCTTCTATTACCATTCATTTCTTCATCATCATCATCATCATCATCATCACCATCATCATCATCACCATCATCAGTGACGTCAGAGATGTCAGCCCTAACCCTAAGCAAACCTTCAAAGTCCAGATCCTACAGAGGAAATTGTGGAAGGTCATAAAGGAGCAAAGACCCAAATCTCTGCCCAACTACTGGGCTGGGGCACTGCAGAAGAGTAACCTGGAGGAGGCAAACACCCCCTAAAATGCCCTAGTGCCAAAGGGAGCCAGAAGTTCTGACCAACATCAGAGCTATAGGCCAGGGAATCTTCTGAGTTTAGGCTGCAGGGCCTCAGTTTCCCCATCATTCTCTGGCAATCCCAGCAGCACCCCACCAAGTCATCCACGTTCTACACCTCAGGGATCTCTTCAGGCCACAAAATGGGAGGCAGCTATAGTCTGAGCCTTTCCCTTTTGGGCTGCATTGCTGCCTGTCCTGCTCACTTCCTGCCCCGTCATGAATTCACCAGGTTCTCTCTGACAGTTGACCACACTGCTCAGCTGTGAGGTCAGGGAGGGGGACCCCAGCCAGGGAGGAGCAGGAAGATGGGGGACCCTACCTCTCCTGGGTCCCCTCCTCCTCCTTTGCATCTTGGGCAAACGTGAGAACCACCGTTTTCTGCAACAGGCTGTGGACAGAAGAGAGGTTCCAAGGAAGTTACCGTCCCCCTGCTCTGTGCCCTGGTTTAGTCCTGGCATGGAGGGTCCCTAAGGAGCCAATCCCTGCCCCCACCCCTCCAGCTGGCCACTTTCTTTGACTTTCTTTTGACTTCCTCTGAGGTTTCCAGGACTGAGATCTTTCTACCAAGATTTCATAAATGCGTCTATTGCCATAGTAGCCTTCGATTTCAGGCAAGTCTGTGGAAAAAAGATGAACTGCTGCCTTCTCCTTGAAGACCCTCCTGCCTCTGCCCATCAGTCTTCTCTTGGGCTCCAAGCACTCTGGGCTTGGGGTGCTGGCTTTCATGTAACTGGAGTATGATGTAGAGTTGAAAAAATATGTTGAATGTTTAAATTTTTTTTTTTTTTTTGGTACCAGGGATCGAACTTGGGACCTTGTGCTTGGGAGGCAGGCAGTAGAACCACTGAGCTAAATCCCCGGCCCTGAATGTTTAAATTTTTAAAAAATATATTACAGTAAAAGATAGTGCCATGAATTTCCCTCAAGTTAGTCCCCTTCACTTCAAACATACTTATCCCATCCTTCTTGCCACTTTCTGAAGCAGTTCTGGAAGTACTCTTACGTGTTTTTAGTTGTGATGTCATGGCTGCCTTGATATCGTGTGAATCAATTTAAAATGTTTACATGTTCATTTTGACTTTAGGGAAAAGTCAGAAGTTTCCTGGTGCCAGATTTGGTGAATCAGGTGGATGAGGACACACCGTAAAGTTTTTACAATCCTGCCTTTCTGTTGGATGGTACTTGGCAGCAGCATTCACTACATATATATTTTAATCATACCTTATAAAGACATTCATGAAAGAAGACTTCCAGAACTACTTTCCGAAAGTGGCAAGAATGGTAGGGTAATTGTGTGTGAAGTGAGGAGGAGTATTTTGTGGGGGATTCATGGCAATATGTCTTTTTTTGCAATATTTTTTTAAAAAATTAAACATTTAAACATGGGATGATTTTGATCACCCCATGTACATCTCTATGATCAGTCTTAACATTTTGGAGTGGGTCCTTTAAATCCTAGCTTTTTAATGTAATTTCTCTTTTTCCCAAAAGTGGGACTTTACAGATGCTCTTTAAAAATTCTCTTTTACAGCTCTCAAGAAATAGAAAGTTAGGGTGGCAAGTTATAATTATTAATAAGCGATCATTGTTGAAGGGAACAGATTTTATGATTCTCTCTACTTCTGAGTATGTTGGAAAAGCTTTACTATACAGGTGACTATCAAAATTTTTGTGTTTACTTAATATATTTTAGTCATCCCTTTATATTAAAAGTGTATCTCTATCATCATTTTTTCATGGTTCCATGGTTACTTTTCTCTGGAAGTAACTTAGCTTATTTAAGTAATATCCTACTGTTAAATCCATACAGTATTTCCATCTTTTCCTGTTATAGCCAATTCTGGGTGAGCATCCCTGTGGTTAAATGTGTTTGCACAATCACAATGGCTTGGTTAGTACAAGTTCCTGGAAGTGAATGGAGTATCATTTGGAACCCACTCAAGACCTTTACTGAGTGAACCTAGGTCCCTAACCTACCTCACGTGCAAATCTAGTTTCTCCTCCTTTGAGGTGTGTAAAGCAGAAACCTCCTCTAAGAAAGGGGCTTCCCTCACAATGGGAACTGCATGGACATTGGTTCACACCTGTTCCCAGCTCCCCATATTAAACAGCAAGACTTAGACAAATAAGGTGGGCTCTGTCCTAGGTGCGGTCCCTTGGTCACTTGTGCATGTGATGTTGCTTTCAGGAGAAACCAGTAAGGAACCAAAGGAAGTTGGGAGGAACAGGTCCCCAGGCTGATCCCAGGGAGCTCTGGGATGTAGAGGACACTAGAAAGTTTGTCTCAGCACAGGCACAGGCTGGAGGGTTGTACCCTTTGCTTTGTCACTGCAACTCCTGGGTGTAACCTGCCAGGTGTCCCTGGCTCCTGCCAGCCCCAGAAGCTCTCCTGAGGAGCTGGTACCCACAGCAGCTGGGCAGAGGTGTACCAACCAGGATGGGGACCAAGCAGGGTGCTGACAGTATATTCTAGGGGTCTGTCCCTAAGGCCTGGGTCCAGAAAGACTCCCAAGGACTTTGGAGGGCATGACGGGAGAGCCCAGGACTCTAGGCTGGGGTGGGAGTGACAGAGTCCTCAAGGGCTCACCTGATGTGCAGCTCTGCCAGGTTCTGGCATGTGTTCACAGCTTGTAGCACATAGGTCACCCCGTCCACAGAGAGCTCGTTGTGGCTGAGGCTGGGGAGAGGAGGAGGGATGTGGTCATCAGCGGGCTTCTTTTCCTCCTTGTGGCTCAACAGCTTATTGGCTGACACTCCTGGGGCTCCCAAAGGATCCTGGCTCATGTGGCTGAGCCAAGAGATACATGACCCCCACCCCCTCAGTCAAGTTCTCCAGCTTGAGCTACAAGAACTGACTGAGGGTTCCCCCTCATCTGAGCCTCAGTTTCCTGGTCTGTAAAATAACCACCATCTCTGGAGCACTGATGGACTAGGCTGTGTATTAAGGACTTTGTACATACACAGCCTCATGTAATCCCATGTTACAAATGGAGAAACTGAGGCTGGGAGACATTCCATTACATTCCCAGGGCCATAAAGCTACTGACAGAGTCAAAGCCAAGACTCCAAATTTACACAACCTCCATGCTCCTCTAACTCCAACCCAAACGTTATCCTAACAGCCCAACACACCCCATCCAAACACCTTGCCTCTCCTCCCTGAAGGACCACAGCACACCCATTGGCCTAATATCCTTCCTTCCCACCTTGGCACCCCAACAACCCACTCTTTTACCCCCAAACTGTACCCCCACCTAACACATCACTTCCTTCTTCAATATCCTGATCTCACAGCCCCGCACCCATGCACCCCATACCTCATTTCTGCCCCAGTGCAGCCTCCCCACTCCCACTCCAGGGCTGGTGCAAGGATGAGCTGGAACGAAGCCACTGATGACTGTGAGTGTGACCCCCACATGCGAGGGGTCACAGGGTTGGGACTATTAGAAGCTCAGGGCAGAGGCAAAGACAAGGCATGGTCAGACCAACTCCGCTGCGTCTGGAGAACGCAGGGTGGTCAGTGGATCAGCAGGCTCACTACTGACGGTGCCTTGGGAACCAGGGGTGGCAGGGACCAGGTGGGGCTCCCTGGGAGCCTCTCTGTCACCCAGCAGTGAAGGAGAAACTCACTCCAGCTTCCTGGTGATGTGCAGACGGGATGCAGCCTCTGCCAGGAGTCGACAGCCTTCATCTTCCAGCTGGTTCCCTGAGAGGCTGAGACAGAGGGGCCCACTGCCCTGAACTGGGGGACGGTCTCCCCTGAAGGCCCACAGGCTCACAGCCCCTCACTGACTTCACTCACAGCATCACTCCCTGAAGAACCTTCACATTACCTAAAGGCTACAGCTGCATGCAACATATCCACCACGGCCTAGGGTCGTAATGGCAAACCTATGGCACGTGTGCCCCAGCGAGCATGTAGAGCCCTGCCTGCAATGATGTCACGAGTTGTATGAGTTGTTTTTCCCAAACTAAACCCTCAGTATTCAGGTTTAATTGCAGTGTTGGTACTTTATGATAAAGAAATGGGTTTTGGATTGCAGTTTGGGCACCCAGTCTCTAAAAGGTTCACTATCACTGGGTTAGGGGGTTCTGCAATTGTGAGCACATTTCATCCTCACAACAATCCTACGATACAGGCATTATTATTGTTATCCTCATATTGCTGATGGGTACACTGAGGCACAGAATAGTTCAGGCACTTGCTCAGAGGTGAGCCTGGATTTGAACCCAGGTAGCCTGACTTCAAGATCTCACTCTTGACCATTCTGTCATGCTACAACCTACATAATGGCATCTTGTGATAAACTCCATGATTATAGGGACAGTTGACCGAATGTGGAGGTCAGGAAAGGCTTTCTTGAAATTTGTGCTATTTTTTTTTTGTATAAAAACCAGGAGTTTAGTAGGTAAGGGATAGTGGAGAAACGGGGAGGAGCATTTCTGATAATAGGAACAGTACATTGAAAGGCCCTGTGGGATAGCACATGGGAGAACCACAAAGGGACCCAATGTGTCTGGCCTGGGGGCTGAGTGGGGGTGTCATGGGCTTGGGGAGGGGTGGGGGCAGGGTTTTGGACTCCACAGGATTTTAGGATCTGGGCTTTATCTTGAGCAGTGAGAGTGAGGGACTGGGTAGGCAGCAGAATGTGGTTCCTCTGCCAGGTGGAGGTGGAGGCAGTGGAAGCAGAGAAGTCGGTGAGGAAGCTGGGGCCATAACCAGGTGAAGGATGAGGGTGGTTTGCACTGCTAGGGGTGAAGAGGCTGCAGAGAGGAGATGGTTCTGGGAGCTATTTAAGTCCACCCAGGATGGTCTGGCTGTGGGGAGGCCTGGGGAGCTGGGAGGTGTTCTGACTGTGTGACCAGGTGGGGTGGCGGTCATTGCTTCAGGCGAGAACACACGGCAGGAACGGCCTTAGCGGTAGTGAGGTAGGCAGGAATAGTTGATGCCTTCTAACCCTGTCCTGGTTTTCCCAAAGGGGCAAGGTCAAGAACCAAGAGCTGATCACTGAGGCAGCCTTCACCCTGTCCAGCTCACCCCACAGCAGCAGTGTTTCATCACCCCACCTCCATGCCACTGGAAGATTTCCTAGACTGTCCTGGTGGGCACCTCGGGGTGACACAGCAGGACCTGCCCCAGTGCCCAAGTCCTGCTCTCCCCAGTCCGGCCCAGGAGTAGGTGGAGCATTCATGAGGTTCTTCTCTGCAGACCTCAGTGACAGAGGTGGCAGTGGTTTTGGGGACAGGGCTGTGGGCCAGGCTGTCTGGGCTTGCAACTGGCCTGGACTCTTCCTGTCAGTTTGACCTTGAACAAATTTACCTTTCTGGGGCTCCACTTCCTCCTCTATAAAATGTGAACAGTAGCAGTGCTTACATCATGAGGTGAGGGGACGAAATAAGGTGAACATATATGCTCTCCGCTGGACACTAATGCAGGGCAAGTGCTAAATGGTGACAGCTGGTACCATCATCTGGAGCCCCATTTTCTTCATGGGGCAGCGCCCACTCACTTCCCCCCAAATTGAGACCCCAGCCATCCTGTCTCACTCCCACCCCAGCCACCCCAGGGCTTTTCCAGACACTCACTCCACTTCCTCCAGCCAGGGGCCTTTCTGGAGCAGGCCTACGAGGACCTCCGCATGGTGGACCCTGAGCTGACATCTCTGGAGCCTGTAGTAGGGGTGGGGACAGAGGGGCTCAGCTGTGCCATATCCCCTTTAGCTCTTAGTGCTGGGGGAGATACAGACTTACAGATCTGGGGACCGCATGTGTCTTAGTAGCTGGGCCATCCTGGGCAAGGCACTGACTATGTAAAACTCAGTTTCCCTTTCTGTCATATGGGAATAATAAATGTATTCCACAAGGCCTCCAGGAGTCTCACCATGAGGCAATGGACACAGAACACTGAGGGCTGTGCCCAGCACAGAGTGAGGGCCCGTTCTTGGGTCAAGCCAGGTGACTTATTCACATCTTTCCCTACCCCATGCCTGCCCTTTCCCCATGTCACTCCTCTCCCTAAGGCAGGGAACCCCACTGCAGTACCTGAGTGCCAGAATTCTGCTCTGGGACTCTTTCCGCTGGCTGTCTTTTTCCATTAGGTCTGGAGCTCTGGCAAGAACAAATCAAACACTGGCCTGGGCTCAGAAGCCAGAATCTGATGGACCAGGCCTTTCTCCAGGCCTCTCAGAGCTGAAGGACCCTTTGCACCCCCACAATGAGTGAGTCACAGCGTCAGTTGCTTCGAGGTGCTCAAGGTATGATTCAGCAAAGCAGCAGGAGCAGAAGGTTTGAAGTCCAAGGAAACCTCTACTTTCAGGGGAAAGCAGCTTTCCTTTCTTCACCCATGCAAGAACAGCCAAGTGGAAATCCACGCAGAGCTGGAACAGCCTGCATTTGAGTGCTGACCACATCCCAACAGTGTGTGAAACACTTTAAATGTATTTTCTTATTTAATTCTCACAACAACCCTAAGATGTAGGTACCATCATTTTCCTCTTCTTTTTCCTTTTTCCCCCTGCTGTAAGAATTTTCCCAGAGTTTCTTCACACAGAGATGCTTGGCTAACAGAGTCTTCCTGTCCTGCCTGAGGGTCTGGCTCACTCTGAGACTCTGAGGATGTTCCCTCTGCACAGGGGCTGGATGTGGTCAGATATCCTAGAGCAAGTTAAAATCCTTCCCCAATTGGGCATGGGTGTGCACACCTGTAATCCCAGCACTTGAGAGGCTGAGGCAGGAGGATCACTGTGAATTCTAGGCCACCCTGGGCTACATAGTGACTTTAAGGCTATTCTGAACTACATAGTGAGACCCTGTCTCAAAAAAAAATTCCTCCCCCAGATCTGTGCAGTAATTCTTTCCTCAGCATGGCAGAGCAGGAAGAATCTCCATATTCCAAGTCTTCCTGGGCTTCCCTGGCCATGCTTCCCTCAAAGGTCTGAACCAGTTCACCTCCCATACCTCCCCCACTTCTTACCTTTGTAGGTCTGCAGCTGTGTCTGTGGATGGGGAAAGAAAGAAGACGAGGTCTGCCTCCCTAAAGGGTCAGACACCAAGCCATGAAAGCCATGGACACCTGCACACCCCTCCCGGCCCCAAACACCCCATGAAAGCTGATTTTATAATTGACAGAGAAACATAAGAGAACTGGCAAAAGTTTTCCAACTCAGGTGTGTAAAATCCTAGATTGCTTGTTAAATTCTTCAGAAATGTTTTTAAAAGTCAGGAAAATAATTCCTTACAAGAAACAAAAAATAGTAAAGCTATAAGTTTTAAAATAGGAGTTGTAAACTGGGTATGCTAGTATGTGACTGTAACCCCAGCACTTTGGGAGGCTCAGACAGGAAGATAGCAAGTTTGAGCCCAGTCTGGACAATTTAGAGAGACACTGTCTGAAAATAAAAAAATAAATAAGGGGCTGAGGAGTTGTCATTGTTTTAGGATTAAGGAGTATGACACCTAAGCGACCTGGTTATTGAAACACCAAATGAGGTTTCAGCACCATGGAGAGCAACACGAGAGTCCTCATTCCTTCAGTTTATGCCTCTTCCATGGATTGGATTTCTTCATCCATTTATTCTTCTATCTTTACATCTGTCCATCCATCCATTTACCAGATGCTAGGCCTGAGTTAGGCTCTGGAGTTTTGAGTAAAACAGACCTGAGTATGCACATGTAGATCTTGCACACTATAGGCCTCCTCCTTTTCCCATGCCCACTCTATCTTGTCTTTTTACAAGACCTTGGAGCCCAATATCCCCTTCCTTCTACTCACCTGACTTGCAGGGTCCTGACAGTAGGGCATGTGACTGCCACTTTCACCAAGCAGAACAGGGTCGACATGGAGAAGTTGCTGTGGCTCAGGCTGCATGATTCCAGCAAAAGTGTCAGAAGTGGGTCCCCAACCCATGGTCTACAAGGGAGGGGTGACTCAGGCCAAGAGAGGGGCTAGGCTGATGGGAGTGGAAGACCACTTACTCAAGCCTCTGGAGCTGTGGCAGGCTGGGCAGTAGCTCCACAATGCTCAGCACCTCCTGGTCCTTGAGCTGATTGTCCTGCAAACTGCATAGGAATGGACCCTGCAGCCCTGGGATTGGTCCCCTGGATGTCCCAATTGGCAGGTGACAGCCATGGCCATCTTCATACCAGAGACACAAGACAAGGGCTAAGAAGAGTGGATGACATGTTTCCTGGCATCCAACAGCCACAGCTAGGAGGAAATGTTCTCTGATGACTTCACTTCAGTCTCCAAGGGGGAGTTTCTGCCTGGTGGCCCAAGGGACCTATATCTGGAAGTCTCATGAAGTAGAGTGAGGAGACTCAGTACCTGCTCCCAGGGCTCATGTCAGGGACATGCCCAAAACCCAAGTCCATCAGAGTCTATCAGCCCACAGGTGATGAGCAGTCTAAACAGAGATAATGGAGATGCGGCTTCCAGCCTCTTCTCTAGCCTTGACTCACTCAGAGCCCCAGTACATGCATTCTCCTCACTGACCTCTCCTTCTACACCTGCCAAGTAGGGTTCACAACTCAGCCCTGCTTGCGTTCCTACCTGGAAGGATAGATGAACTGAGGTGTGGAGATGTATTGAAAAAAATGGTGGGTAATAAGAATAAAGACTAAGGTCACTCTCAATAACCAGGAAAGAAAGGTATATGTCAGTAGGATCAATATTCCAAAACTTTGTCCTTACCAGACTGATCACTGTACAAAGCACCTAGTTGAAGAGACAAGAGGGACTGTGGTCCAGCTTATTTCCTACTTAATTAGTGCTGCATCTTTGTGCCAGGATGCATCTTCTAAAGGTGGTATATAAGCTAGCAGGGGTCCTGCCAGTGAGGGGCTGGAGGGTCCCTGGCCACACTGGTCCCCAGGGCGCTCAGCCCAGACACAGGGAAAGAGTGCATTTGTGTGTGTGCTAGTTAGCATGTCTTACTAAATATATACACAATCTAAGTGTGCCTGCATGTGCCATACATGTATATATGTATGAATGGACAGATGGGGGTACATACTTGAGTAGGTAAGTGCGCACTCTTGTGCAAGTGTGTACACATATGCACAAATGTGAAGGTGTGTGTTTTATGCATTTATATGTAACCACGGTGCCCATCTCCTGCCTATACACTGCCATCCCTTCTCCTGGGGTCACAGGAAAAGGGAGAAGGGGCTTCAAAACTCGTGCTCCTTCAAGATGGCCCAAAATATTAGATGATAGAGGCCCTTCTCTGGAGCCTTTGGGAGGCTTGTGCTTGGATTCAGTGGCACTTATTTTTGGATTGATACTGCATTCTCTGGGTCTTGTTGAAAATTACTATTCAGATCTTGATGGAATAGGTAGAACCCAGTCCAGGGTTCGGGGCTATCCTGGGAGCTGGACAGTGTCCCCTTTTCCCAGCCAGTGAGCCCTTCTTGAGATCACTCACCTGACCTCTTCCAGCTGTGGGCAGAGGGGCAAAGCCTGCACCAGGTGGCTGATGCCTCGGGCAGTGATCTTACTTCCTGCTAACCTACAGATAAGCAAAGATGATGGGGAGGAATGGAGGTGGGGCAGGGGTAGGCCAGGAATCTGTCTTGGGTAGGACAGAGGGGAGGAAGGCGAGTGCCAGGCATCCTCAGCTGAAGATCCTTCTTGGTTCCAAGCCCTGGCTCACCCCAGCTTCTTCAGGCTCCCCATGGTCGGCAAGCTCCTAGAGAGGGCTTCTGCAAAGGTATCCCCGCACTTTCTGCTCTTAAAGCTGCATGGGAAGAAGCAAAGTGGCCAAGGATCAGTGCTGAGCAGGGCTTGGAGGTCATCACCACCCCTTCCTCTATCAGATGAGGCTTAATCTAGTAGCAGTTATTGTTGCCACTGTAGTTGTAGCCATAACAACTACAGATTATAGCAGAGACAATTTCACCCAAAAAGTCCAACCATTACTTCATCCATAGAAATGGAGGTTGGCTGGTAACAACGTTTCCCAGCCAGACATCATTTCCAGCCTCCCTTGCAGCTCAGAGTGGCCATGTGACTATGATCTTACCAATGTGACTGGGAGGGATGCGTCCCAGTTTGAAGCCTGATCTTTAACAGGTGTGCCTCCACTCTCACCCTGTCCCTTCCCCCAAGCAAGAGTGCAGGTTGCTCATGACCCAGCTTTGACCAGGCAGATAGGATGCCCAAGGGATGATGGAGCAACAAGAGTAGGGACCTGGTTCTTCGCCTAACCACGTGGACCTGTACAATGCCACCAACTCAGATTTAGTTCTGGCTTTTCCATGAGAGAGAAATACCATTTTTCATGATTTAATGCTTCTATTTGAGGGAGTTTCTTTGATTGCAGCCTTGCTTTTTCTCTAGCTGATGCAAACATTGAGCTTTTGCTCTGTGCCTTATCCCATCTTATCCTCATAGCGACTCCTTTTAGGGATGAAGAACCTTTCCAGCTGAGAGGTTACATAACCTGCCCAAAGTCAAACAGCTTCTAGCAGTACATCTGGGATCAGAAGAGATCCATGATCAACAGAGAGACCACAAAAACCATAGAAAGCACAGGCAGGAGGAAGATCCAGTTGGTCTCTGGTAGCCCTATTGAAGCATGGAGCTGCCCCACCATGTCCTGGGCTGAGGGGCACTCAGGGCCACTCTGTTCTGATAGCCAAGATCTAAATCCAGTCTCTCTAGCCAGACTGGTGGCCTCTGCTCTCCTGAAAGCCCAGTTCCCTCCCAAGGTCTCTCTGTCCTCCTTGGCTCTTACTCACCTGAGTGTCTCCACCTTCCCACAGCCTGCCAGAGCCTCAGGGCAGTGAGGCTCCAGCGGGCAGCCCTCAAACTCCAGGTGGATGGGCGCAGCCCTGTGCTCCAGAACACTGACCAGGGAGGCCAGGTCCATGTAGGTCAGTGGGAAATTGTGGAAGAGCAGTTGGTCGGGGAGGCTCTGGGCAGTGAGGCCGGCCAGCTCAGGCTCCTGAGTCTCAGCTATACAGTGACATAGCTCTACCACTTTTGGTCCCGTGAGTTTGCGGGTGGCAAACTTCCTCAACAGCTGTACAACAGCAGCCTGCCTGGTGGCCACCCAGACCTCATTCTGCTGGGCCACGTGGCTGAGGAAAGGACGGCAGGTGTGAGATGCCAGGCCTGCCAGGAAGGTGGAGAGGTATTCTTCGAGGCCCAGTCTTGCTTTGGTCCGCAGCACCCAGCGGGAATTGAGGACGACGTGGCGGGTGAGTGTGCCCTTGTCCACTGTGGGGCTGGTCATCAGGTATAGGGCAGCAAAAAACTCCTGCAGGCTGAGATGGGCAAAGGCATAGCCTGTTTCCTGGTGCCCAGGGCTTGTGTGGATGCTGAAGGAGGTCAGCAGGCTGTGGGTAGCTCCGAAGGCCATCATGGGTGGGGGGATGTCTTTAATGTAGAAGATGACCTTCCCAGTCTCCAGGCCACTCAAGGCGACCTTCCCAAGGCCTACCAGGGACATAGCAGGAAGGGGGCTGAGGGTAAGAAGCATCTGCATGTAGAGCTGGGTCATAGTGGGCAGGAGGGCTACAGACTGGCCTGTGGGGCTTGCAGAGAGCAGATGGTGCAAGCAGAGGCAGGCAACCTGGCACAGTGCTGGCACCACACACATACTCCGGAGACATCCATTTGCCAGCAATTCTTTGAGGGCCACCTCCTGAGATGGCTGGTCACTGAAGTAGTGGTTCACATACTCCTTCACCCGTAGCCAGTCAAAGCCCCACATGTGGACCATGGCTGCTTCTGTGGGCAGGCAGGCGGGGAGTTTTCCTGGGCGAGAGGTGGCCATCACCCAGCAGCCCGGCAGGAGGGTCCCACGGCAGAGGCTGGAGAAGAGGGTGAAGGCTGAGCCGGAGCCATTGGGCTCCGCAGTCTCCTTGCTGGAACAGAGGTGGAGGGCCTCATCCAGCCCGTCGAATATCAGCAGGACTTGGCTGGCATTCTCCTGCAGGTACTGGAAGACAGCCTCGGGGCCCGACTCTGGTCTCACGTACAGATCAAAAAGGAGCTGAGGCAACGTCAGGAAGTGTGGGATCAAGTTGAGCTGGCGGAATTCAAAAAGGAACAGGGCTTGGAAGTGGTCCAGATGCCCATCAGCCCACTTGTGGCAGAGCCGCCTGGCCAGCGTGGTCTTGCCCATGCCCGCCTTCCCCAAGAGCACTGTCACTCGAGAGCTCTTGGGAGTCCTGAAGTTGAAGAGGTCCTGGATGCTCACATCATTGCCATCTTCTGTCTTGAGGTCCCCCATAATGGCCCCCTCCCGAGTGTCTAAGGGCACTGTGGCCCGGCTCCACTGCAGGACTGGGGGGACATAGACCTTCCCTGGTCCAGGGAGTCCATCACCATACTGCTGCAGGGCAGAGGTCCTCAGGAGCTGCAGGTAACTCTGGGCCAACTCTGCAGAGGGACAGGGAGACAGCATGAAAGCAGGAGCCCCCAGGCCTCCACTTGTGTCCCCTGCTGTGTATGTAAAGGTCTTGGGTGGCGAGGGCCCAGTAGGGGGTTCTGTGCCACCCAAACTCCCAGAAGGGATTGGTTCCACCGGAGCACAGGCTCTGGCAGGTGCGGATGGGAACAAGGGAGTCATGGCTCTATTTGTTCTGGAATATTGTTAGTGAGATATAGCTTTCAGTACAGCAGGGACAGGGGAGGAGACTTCCTTTGCAATATCTTCCAAGAGTTCCAGCTCTGTGCTGCTCTGGAGTGAGCACTAATAAGGTCTAGGCATTGGCCAATCTGACCCTACAGTGCCACTCGGTAACCTTTTCATTTCTAGGTCGGGGGAGCTCTCAGGTGGCTGAGGGAAGGATGGGGGCTGTTGTTAGAGACCAGGGGCCTGAGGTAGTGGCAAGTTTGGCAAAAATGTGAATCCTCTGCCTAAGCAGAGAGAGTGTGTGTGCGTGTGTGTGTGTGTGTGTGTGTGTGTGTGTGTGTGTGTTTGTGCGCTTCCAGATAGTGGGACAACTGGTCAAGGAGAAGGACCATTCTGGATAACAGTGGAGAATGAGAGAGGTTCGCTCTCCTCTCCTCCCCCTGGAAACCCACAGTGGCCCCCATCTTTCAAGGGCCCCCAGGACTTCTGCTGCAGGGGTTTCCCCCAAGCATCCTCATTACTCCATATCCCTGAAACCCCCCTGAGGTTGTGTCAGTTACCCACCCAGAGGCTCCTGCAACTCTGAGGGAGGGTGTCTCTGGAAGAGCCTGGACGACAAGGCTGTGACTTGTTGCATGCTTGCAGCTCCTTCAGCTAAACCCCCTCTGGAGAAGCTCCTTGCAGCCTATGGGGGGCCCTTTCTCTCCTCTGCCCAGTCAGGACCTTCACTCCTCTCCTGTAAGCTTGGCAGACAAGTGCCACTGGGCCCTGGAGGCTTGCCAGCTGGGGACCGGCTCTAGAATCCAGGCTGGGCCCCAGAGCAACCTAATTCCACATTGGATCCATTCACACCCTAGTACCCACCTAGCTGGTGTTTCCTGCTGTGCTTCTGGCAGGGTGAGGACTCACAGCTCTGATAGGGACGCTTGAGGCCTGGAAAAAGTGAAGGAAGCAGGAAGGGCTAATTGGGGGTCCTGAGCAGCACCTCCAGGGTGCTCCATTCCACAAATAGGGGCTGGCAGACAATGCATCAGGACTCAGGGACTGTGATGGGGAAGGTGGCAGGCAAAGGCTGCATCTATAGCAGCAGCTGCTGTGGAGAGGGCTGCAGGGATGGAAGCTCTGGGCCTGGGCATCTCCCATCCCAGATCCAGACAGCAAAGCTGCAGCCACAGCCCCAGAGACAATTAGCACTATTTAGCTGTCACTCTACCTAGGAAGGACAAAGCTTGTGGAGGGCAACACTTCTAACAGGCTTGGCCAGGCCTGTGACCTACCTCCTGAGTCAGTCTGTGTCACCCTGACTTCTCACCGCATCTCCTCACTGCCCTATCGTAAGCCCTGTCTGGTTGCACAGATTTTTCAGGGTCCCTTTAATGCCTTTCTAGCAGAGTGTGGAAAAGGCAGAAGGAAAACAAGAAGGAAGGGAAGAGAGAGATTCAGGCAACAAAAAAGGCAGGAGGACTGGGAGAATTTTAAGAAGTGCCTATAATCACAGTACTCTGGGAGGCTGAGGCAGGATGATCACAAGTTTGAGGCTAGCCTATATACTTAGTGACTTAGTGAGATACTGTCTCAAGATTAAATAAATAAATAAATAAATAAGGGATGGGGATGTAGCTCAGTGCAAAGGTCCTGGGTCCCAGTGATGTTTGCTACAGCCAGCTCCAGTATCCAATCAGAATAGCCCCTTGGTACAGAGCTAGGGCCCTCCTTGCAAAACACAGGGAGGAGCTGGAACCCTTTTGAGTAGTTCGATATTTTAACAAGTGCCATATGTACCAGGGACTCACCACTGAGTATCAGTGAGCTCCAGCCAAAGCCACATGACAGTTACCAGCTCAGTGATAAGGGATGAAGGGGACCAGGGACCTAGACACAACAGTTTAGAATTGTGGGGAGCTGGGATTATGGGGTGGTTGTTATGTTCACACTGGCTGCAGAACCAGTGTGACTGCAGAGCCCAGCTGTACTGCTGTAGGAAGCAAGCTTCTGAGACTAGAAGTGGCCAGTGGTCAGTGATGTACTTGCCAATTAATCACTGACCCCTCTGAGCTCCATCGGAAAACCAGTCAGTGGCTCCCAGGCATGGACAGCAGAGGTCCCAGTGGGGAGCCAGTTAGGGGTTCCTAATGGAGTCTGACGGGCGCTTGGAGATGAGGCTGGGGGTGGAACTGAGGGCAGGCTCCCCAGGGTGCAGCCAGCCAGGGCTTCTGGGGGCGGCCCAGGGCTGACACTGTAGACTCCTGGGAGCTCTAGTTAGATCCCTGGGAACAGGCAGGGGAACAGGCCCGGGTCACGTGTCAGGAGCAGATGGGTCCATGTGCAGAGGAGGAAATGGCTGTCACCACCCACCACCAGGTTATGATGGGAAGCCAGGTGTGGTGGCACATGCTTGTAATTCCAGCACTCTGGGAGGCTGAGGCAGGAAGATGACAAGTTTGAACCCAGACTGGGTAACTTAGTGAGACACTGTCTCAAAGGCCTTGGGTTCCATGAACAGTCCTGGGGGTGGGGGACTGGGAACTTAGCAATGATCACCACGTTTTTTCACTCCCAACCCCAGGCCTCACCGTGGTGGAGCTGAGATCCAGGTCGGCTCTCCTCTCCAGTTCCCAGCAGCCTGGGTAATTCTGCAAGAGAGGTCAGAATAGGACAGGTATGGGGATGTGGTAGGATGCCCTGGGAGCTCTGGGCTGATGTCTGCTCAGGGCACATGCCCAGGTGGGTGCTCTGCCAGGGAGAAATACAGTTACCTGTCAGCTATCTGTTGGGGGAGAGCTTACGGTGAGCTTTGAAGGCAGTGGGGGCAGAAGTATATGTGTGTGTGTATCTATGGGTGTGCATATGTATATTTATGCATGTCTGCACACTTATATGAGTGTAATACCTGTTTACACACACGCTTGCATTGTGTGAATCTGCATGTGCCTGCACACACATCCCTTCATTTCTCACACTCACCATGTGGTAGAGAGAGCTCTTGCTATCAAGGATGCCGGTACCCTTGAATGTCTTGTATTTCCCCTTGGTGCTAGGCAAACAGAAGGTACTCAAGCAATGGCCTCTGAACTGTACAGAATTAAACCTGCTGCCTCTTGGGAGAGATCAAAGGTCCCACTCTGTCACTGCTTCTGACTATATTGTAGGAAGAAGCCTCTTGTGCAGCACCAGCTGCTTGGCCTTTCCGGTGGAAAGCAGCCACATGGGTTTCTCTCTCTGCTTCTGGGCTCCCAGAGGAATGGAACAGGGTGGAGGTAGCAGGAGGGTCTCCAGGCCCCACTTGTTTTGTGGCATTGGGGAACTTGCTCTGGGAAGTGCCAAGAAATATGAAATTTTGTTCCTGGCCTTGTTACACCCTCTTGGTGTGACTTGTGGGCCCTTGGGCCTCCCACCATCCCTGGTGTCACAGGGGCTGTGCTGGCTGCTTTGTACCCTCCCCTCCTGTTCTTACCGTCGTCCTGGCCCCAGGTGCTCAGCAGTGGCACCTCCAGATCCAGAGGCACCTCCAGCTCCATGCACATGCAGTGGATGAACGATTGCCAGGTGGCCACCCCTTGGGTGTATAACTTCCCCAGCTGCAGGACAACTCTCTGCTCAGGGTCCAGCGCCTCATTGCTGGAGGCCAGATCCACATCAGGGAGGAAGAACTTCACTTTGGCTCTCAGCCATTCCTGGTTTGTACTGAGCAGCCTCACAAGCCAGCCACACAGATTCTCACTGCCCAGGTGGAGGCTGTCGGGATCCATGAGGAGCTGCTCTGCAGGGACAGGGTTAGCAGGTGAGCTGGGGCAGATGTGTTGGGGGACAGGTGAGCTCACAGGCAGCTGGGCTGAGGGAAGAGTGAGCTGAGGGAAGCCAAAGGGACAGTCAAGAACCAGGCCCAACACTGAGCAGCAGGAAGAGGAAACGCTACCTTTTGGTGGACAAGCCACTGAGACTTGAGGGGCTGTTTGTTACGGCAGCATAATCTAGCAAATACATTTATGGTACGACCTTAAGCCAATTTCTTCTCTATCTGTGTCTTCATTGCACCATCTATAAAATGGGTAAATATGTGCTCAAGGCTCCTCTTGACTTTCTACATCCAATACATAATTTCCATTCTCATGCTGCCTGAGGGCCAAGGGCAGGTTTATGATTGGGCAGCCCAGGGAGGTAGAGCTAGGTACAGAGCAGCAGGAGGGGAATGTGGAGTAGATGGGAGGAAAAGGATGGGGGACAGGGGAAAGTGAGGAAGAAACACTTACCTGGTTTCTTAGATCATGGTGGGTGTTCCAGGGTCCCATGAAAAGGGTCTCATGGGTGTCTGTGCTCTGTCCTGTGTCCGGAGCTGGGTTTATGGGTTATATCCATGGTGCAGGCCCTAAGGAGAGAGGAGACAGGATGCTGTCCCCACTATTTCAGACTTAAACAGGAGTACTCTGAAAAGGACAGCAGTCCTTGACCCCACTTGCCAGAAATGCCTCTGAGGATATTGGCCCATAGCGGCCCCCTGCACTTCCATGTGCATATCGAGCTCTTCCCCAGGCACAGCTCCCGGTGTCCCTGGAGTTTGCACTCCCTGCCCTTCATGGAATGACTTCCTGCCACACTCAGAGCACAGGAAGCTCCCTGCCTCCTCCAGCCTGGGGCCTTGTGGTGTTCTGGCAAAGGCAGCACTTTATCCCAGCTCATTCATCACAGGAGCACTGGGTAATCCTCACTGCATAGGCCAACATTATTCCCATGTAAAACCTCACAGGAGTTCGGATTCTGTTGTTTAAAGTATTGATAAATGGCAGAGAGACAGGCATGGTGCTTCAGGCCTGTAATTCCAGCACTCTAGGAGGCTGAGGAAGGAAGGTGCAAGTTTGAGTTCAGACTGGACAACTTAGTGGCTTAGGGAGACCCTGTTTTGAAATAAAATGTCAAAAAAGGTCTGGGGATGTAGCTCAGTGCAAAGGCCATGGGTTCAATCCCCAGTACTGCAAAAATAAACAAAACAAAAAACAGCAAACAAAAACGTAACAACAATAAAACAGAGAAACATTCTTCTTTTTTTTCTTTTGGTACCAGGGATTGAACTTGGGACCTTGAACTTGTGAGGCAGGTGGGGGAACCACTGAGCTAAATCCCTGGTCCGAAACACTGTTCTTAAAGAGGAACCCAGAGGCATGGGTCCCTGCCTTACAGAGTGCACAGTGAGAAGACTCTTCAGCCTCGATTCCTACCTAGCACAGTTTTGGAGATCTCATCTCACAACACAGAATGAGCAGGAAAACGTGTGGCTAAAAGAAAGGGAAAGAAGCAAGAAAGAGAAGCTGAAGACCAGTGTGTGCTCTGATTGTCTACCTGCGAAATAAGAGGAATATGACGAGGAGAGTTCCGGGACTTTCAGGAAATCCACTTAAATAGGGCAGATCCTAACATGACAGAGATGAGTACTGTAATTAGAAGTATGGGAAGGAGAAAGGGTCTTGTTGAAGAGGTCCGGGGGTACTAATGATATTTTTTAAAAATTCTGGCAAGGTCTAACAGAAGAGGGAAAGCGAGGGCGTGAGCAAGCGGGGATCAAACCTTACAGCGGACTGAAATCTTGAGTCCTCCCAGAGGCAGCTGGTGAAGCCCAGATCCAATGCAGTGGGATTTGGAGGTGGGGCCTTGGGAATGGAATTAAGTAATGAGGGCAACCCTCAAGAAGGTGGGATGGGAAGGTCTCTCTCTCTCCCTCTCTCTCTCTCTGTCTGTTTCTGTCTCTCTCTGTGTCTCTGTGTCTCAGTCCCTCCCTCTCTCTCTCTCTGCCACACAAAGACATGAGGAGAAAGCACTGTTTTCAAACCAGGAAGTGAGACCTCACCAGACACCAGATGTGCAGGCCCCTGATCTGGGGCTTCCCAGATTCCAGATCTCCAAGAAACAAAATTCTGCTACTTAAGCCACCCAGCCTGTGGTATCCTATTCTGTAACAGTCACTTGAACTGACTAAAACAAATCTGCTGTGACCACAGAAAGTCAAAGATAAAAACTGCTCTAAGTTAACGTGTAGGTTGAAGGCAATGCCACCTGAGTTACAACAGGATGCTCTAGGGAACTTGATAAAATTACATTAACAATTCCTTAGAGAGAAAAGCAGACATAGCACATGTTTATATGCTTTTCATACTTCATCATAAAACATTTGAAATTAGAAATGGATTTTAAAAAAGCCTTGGGTCTGAGGCTGTTAGCTCAGTGATAGTGTGTATATTTAGCGTGTACAAGTGTACAAAGCCCTGGGTTCAACCCCCAGCAAACTACACACCACACACACACACACACACACACACACACACACACACAAACTGAAGGCAATTATCAAAAAGTTTACTTGTTCAGAACAAGCAATATTGAAGAAAATTTCAACAAACCATTGCCAGCTTAGGTAACTTTGCCTCAGGACAAAGAATTAATACCTCCTATCCCAATGACTGACAGGAACTGATGTACAAATACCTGGCTCCCTCCCTCCCTGCAGACACAGCCCTCACTTGTTTGACTACATGCCTTTCTGGGGTCCCCTGCCTTTCCTGCCTCAATTCCCTATCCCTTATTGGTGTTTGCTTGCTTCACCTCCCAAATAAACTCATTCTGTTTATCTCAGGGTTTGTTTATGGGGGAATCCAAACTGAGAAGAAGAGAAAACTTGGGCATATGAGCAAAACTGAAAGTGCACAAGCCCTTCTACTAGGGATCTGCGCAACTGTAACTGCAGGATGGCTTTGTATATATGGCAAAAAAAAAAAAAAAGAGAGAGACATAGTGACTTACATTTATTGCAAGCTGGAAGGACATATGAGTTTCCCTGTGAAACACTGAGAACCTACTTGGCACACAGCAGAAGGTCACCAGTGGCCACTCACTGTGCATGCGTACTGAGCTACATGCTCTCATGTGCCATCTCATTGACTCTTTACAACAGACCTTCAAGGTGAGTACAATACTTCTAATGTGTCCATTTAGCAGGGGAGATAACTCAAGGTAAGCAAGTTGCCTTAGGTCACTGGGATTCATGTCAGGTAGTCAGGATTCCTTTATACAAAGACAAGAATACTGATTGCTCTCTTGCTAGTGCAAACACTGGGAAAAGACAAGTATCCATCAATATTCTGGCTTTGGCCATCAATGCCAAAGGATCTTTCCACTGTTAGGAGACAAATTCTGACATGCCTGTATGAAACACCTACTTAAAAGAAAGTCAGCTAGATATCCATCTGACATGGAAAGAGCTCCAAAGTACACTATTAAACAAATTCAAAATTTAAAAAGTTGTGCCATATGTATGTTTCAAGTGTGTGTATATTTGCATATGCAGGAACCAACTGTGGAGGCCTACATAGGAAACTGGTTGTATCAGGGGAAGGAGCCTGGGACATGCAGAGGGAGAAGAGCTTTTTATTATGCTGTACTCTTTTGGATCAAACCTTTTAATGTTCACTTTTTGATTTAAAAAACATATGGCCATTGACATTACAAACTAGAGTAGCAGCTTGGGGTGCCAGTGCACACCTATAATCCCAACCACTTGGGAGGCTGTGGCTCCCAAGAGGACAAGAAGTTGGAGGTTAGCCTGAACAATTTAGCCAGACTTTGTCTCAAAATGAAAAATAAAAAGGGCTGAGGATGCAGCTCAATGTGAGGCTGTGGGTTCAATCCCCAGTACCAAAAACAAACACCTAGATCACCATTTCCTCAATGCGTAAGGAAGGGACAGATACCATGATGAGCAAACAGAAGCAGCAACTAGGGACGGCTTACAAAATTGGAAATCCCCTCAAATGGGAAATACTAAAACAGAAATAGGAAGGCAGTTGATAGGATTAATGTCTGCACTCTGTACAGTGGAATATTCCAATTAAAAGGCAATTCATACCTATCAAAAAATATTTTATTCTCTTTGCTAGTTTAACGTTTTTGTGCACGTTGCAAGGACAACATTACGTTTCCACAGGAAAAGTGGTTGCCAAAGTTGAACAATGTCATGAATATTTGCTAAATGCCAGGCCTTCTTGAATTGTTGGTTTCAGTTTTCACATTTCTGTTTGGACACCTCTTCTGGGTTTCAAAACTTTGTAGTACAAAACCGAGGTCCTGATCTGTCCCACAAACTGCTCCCCAGCCACCTGTCTCACATAGATGAAAGGCAGGGAGCATCGTGCTTCCCGTCAGCAGGGGTCAAGGGTGGCTTAATTTTTTTTTCTTTCTTTTCTTTTTTGAGACAGGTTCTCACTGTGTTGCCTAGCCTGATCTTGAACTTCTAGGAGCAAACGATCCTCCTACCTCAGCCTCCCAGCTAGTTAGGACTCCAGGTGCATTTTCAAAAATCAAACTTTGTAACTTTAACGTTTTCTTCATTGTGCTCCCCTGCCCCCACTTGTTTTTGATTAACTTTTGGTAATTTTTTTTTTTAGAAAATTTCTCATTTTGTCATAATGTTAAAAAATAGGATATCTTGCCAAGTGTGGTGGCGCAGCCTATAATCCCAGCACTCTGGGAAGCTGAGGCAGGAGGATTGCAAATTTGAGTCCTGTCTGGGCAACTCAGTGAGACTCCATCTCAAAAAATAAAATAAAATAAAATAAAAAAAGAGGGCTGGGGCTGTAGTTCAATGCAAAGGCCCTGGGTTCAATTCCCAGTATCATTTTAAAAAAAGACAAGATAGCTTAGAGTTGGAAATATTTTCTGGCAATTTAAAATCTCTTCATGTCTTTACATTTAATGTAGTTTATATTTCTTTGTCGTTTTTCATTATTAGATTTGCCAGCAGGTGATATGTCTTATGTTTGAAGAATAAACTTAAAATTTTTATTAACGATTACTTTAATTGTGCCTATTTATTTGGTAGAATATAATTTGATACATGTCTGTAATCTGTGATGATCAAATCCAGGTAGTTAACATTTCTATCTCCTTAAATTTTTGTTTCCATAGGGAATTCTGTTTGAATTTTCCCTTTCCAGCTCTGTGATTTTTACCTTTATTTCATTCTCTCTCTTTTTTTTTTTTTTTTACTGAAGTTGTTTAAAGTTATGAAGTTTATTGCTTGGGCCCTTTCTGGTCTTTTTCTCTTAAAAAAATAATAAAAGAAAACACTTTAGGCCAATACCTATAAATTTATGTAAAATATTTATATTATTAAGTAGATCATATGGAACAGTCATTTAATAGAGATTTTTTTAAGGCTTCACTATTAATTTTTTATCAGTGTACTGTGCAAAGAATAAGTCATATACTGCTTTAGAAAATATGTTCAAGATTTTTCTTTTTTCTTGGTATATGTTAAGTTTTTTTAAAGTTCTTGAATAAGGATGAATTTTTAATCTCATATATTATATCAGAACAAAGTCT